CTGTTCTTCGTCTGTCTCCTCTTCTGTCCTTTGTCTCATCTCTCTGTCGTCTCTCTCTCTGTCTGATCGTCTCTGTCTTGTCTTGTCTCCTACTGTGCTGTCTGTCGTTCTCTGTTGTCTCTCTCTCTCTGGTCGTTTCTCCTCTCTGCTAGTCTCGTCTCTCCTCTTCTGGTCTATTCTCTCTCTCTGTCTCTCTCTTCTCCTGTCTGGTCTTCTCTCTTCTCTCTTTCTGTCTCTCTCGTCTCTGTCTGTCTCCTCTCCTCTAGTTGTTCTCATCTCTGCTGTTCTGGTTCTCTATTCTGTCTGTCTCTTTCCTCTCTGTTCCTCTCTCTTGTCGTCGTTCTCTCTCTACTCTCGTTCTGTGCTGTCTCTTCATCTCTGTCGTCTCTCTCTTTCATTAGTCTGTCTTTCTCTCTCGTCGTCTGTCTCTTCTCTCTCTGTCTTCTATCTTCTCTTGCTTCTCTTACTCCTTGTCTTCTTTCTGTCTTTCTCAATGATCCCTCTCGCCTTCCCGAGACTCTCTCTCTCTCTGTCTCTCCGTCTGTCTCTCTCTTCTCTGTCTCTCTCTCTGCTCTCTGCTCTCTCTCCTCTCTGTCTCCTCTCTGTTCTTCTCCTGTCTCTCTCTCTCTGTCTCTCTCATCTTCTTTCTTTTTCTTTCTTTCTTCTTTTTTTTCCTACATTTTTTGTCTTAAGCCTGTTTCGGATGTACTTCTTTGCCTACCCTTTAGAATCACTCCTGCAAGATGATGTGGGAATCTCATTATGTTGCCTCTTATCTTTGTTGCTCACTACTTTCCATTGTCCAGACTTCCGATTGCACATGAGGATCGGTTTAGGTATCATATTGTGGATTCTTAGTTGGTCAAATTTTTCAATTTATTTTTTATTCGTCATTTATTTTTCTTGCAGTTTAGGAAATGGAGTTTTCATGTGACTACCAGTACATTCCTTTGGGTATGATGTACTGTAATTTTAGAAATAATAACCTGTAGACTAATTTCTCTGGGTGCTCACCAACTCTAGAGTTAAGTAAAATATTCCAAACCTTGCTCCTGAATTCCATTTCCAGAGTTCTCAATTTTCTTTTCTGTTGTTCTGGAAGCTGCATATTTCTGCTTTATACAATGTAATACTGTCAATCATACATTTATATTTTCTTGCTTACATTTTAATAATCGTGGATGGATATATTTGGCAATCACTTTATTACATTTTATAATAAATCTTTATTAAATAATCTTCATATTTTAAGGCTTGTGAGTTTTGATATTCTTAATTGCTGCCTCAGTTACTCATTATTCATAGGGACAAAATCTAGATGAAACATTTTTTATATAATACATTTTAAAAAAGAAATCAAATTAGAAATTCTGTATTCATATCATTTTAATGTCTTTTTAAGATGATGTTCAATATAAATATGAAAATGCACATATTTTGGGAAAATAATTTGTTCATCAAATAATTTATTGGTATATTAAAGACATTTTTTAATTCAGATTTCGAGAGGAGAGTTGACCTTCATAAACTAAATTGATGGAACAAAGTGAAGTTGAAAATTATTGAAAATAAACTGTGATGCAATGTATTTGTGAGTAACTACACTCATCCCTTCCTATAATTTTAAATGTTACCTACAAACGCAAATACTAGTTCATAAATGTTTGTATTAATATTTTTCATATTAGAAATAATTTACAGATTGAAGTTTATATTGAAAGGAAATTGTAATTTTTTAGTGTTTAGATTTTGTGCTGTTTTGTTAACATCAAATGAAGTTTCTCTTGCTGTCAAGCACAATTACTTCTTCACTTTTTGAATTGTTTTGTTTGATATTATGGTAAAATTTCACTATTAATATCATTATCTGTGTAGTTTATTGTAAAAGCTTTTTCTTCTTTAGATATGCAAAATTTCAGGCAACCTGACAATAAAAAGCTTCCAATTAAGAGAGATGGGCAAGATAATGAAGTGCCTTCATAATGTTTTTAAAAAAATTGTGTTTTACATAGGGGTTGGCCAAATTGATGCTGTTATGTGAGGTCTATGTTGTCCCGTCCTTATTTCATCAATGCAGATTTTTCCCGAATTCCAATGACATTTCCAGGGACACCAATTGTTTCCACATTCATCTCTCCCATTCTTTTTAACTCATTGGCATTCATCAGTAGGAAATAATTTACTGGAATAAAGTAAAGGTTATCGTGAAGAAATCTATTCAAACATATTTTGACAATGTCAAAAGTTAAACTACTTCAAAATCAATTTTCAGTTTCACTGTTTACACAAAAAGGAAAATATCAACTCTAAAACAGTACATGGAATAATGTTTGTTTAATTATTTGCATGGGAATTAATTTGAATATGAAATTTTTTAATTACTATGTGAAATATTGGTTTTATCGGATACTTTTTCTACTATAAAGTAAAGGTCACAAAGCACCATTTTATATTAACATTAACTTATATTTAATTTTGGAGTGGACTTATGCCATGTAGAGAAATTATCAGATTCCTCTGAGTTTGTTCACAAATACTATAAGAACAATGGGCTTTCAGTATGGAAAGCTACTTTGCCAAACACAGCTAATTAAATCTATTTATGGTTAGCATTCAATTTGATGTGCAAAACTACAAACAAAATTAAGTCATTATTTGGTATATAGGCACGTAACTTGAGAATATTTATGAGAAGTAGACATATATAGTATGTTTTTTAATGAAATGAAAGAAAGAATCTGGATTTGGTGATGCTTAAACTGTTTTGAAATAATTCTTTTCTTCCGTCTGAAAAGTATATTTAACTTCATCTAGGAAATCTATTAACAGGGTTGAGCAGTATCTGAATACATTTTATATTTGAAAAACAATATTTTTGATATTTTGGGGCATGTATTTTTGAGATGTATTTAAATACATAAAATAGATGTGTTTAAAAATAGAAATACTTTGAATACAGATGAAGGTAACGAGGATAGTTTCTTCTTGTTTGATGCTAGTGAATGCACCTCATTGAAACAAAAATAAAAGCTCTCTCAGCTGTTAAATTTAATTTGTCTTCATTTTTAAATGATAAATCTAAATCATTAAAAATTCTGGACAAGTATCAGAAGAGAAAAAAAAAGCATTTATTCATTATAACATCACCACCAGTTGACTGTTTTCCTTTGTATGTTTATTACACTAGCCTACCAGAGGTTGATTGCCTGGTGATTTTATTGAAAAATTAGTTGTTTTAAAAGGAAATTCTTTTTCAGTTAGACATATTATTAACTCGTATATTTGAAAGTATTACAGTGTATGTTATAGTTAGTTATTATTCAGAAATATGTATGACTGACAATTATAATACATTGTTGCAATAAAAAAGATATAAATTATAAAGATAGTAATTTTAAATACTAAATTTAAAGTATTTTTTCCAACTCTGTCCATTAAATTAATTTGAATTTATTGAATTATAATTGCAAGTTGTGTTTGTTCATGTACATGAAGAGCTACTTGTTTTTAATGCTAAAAGGACGCTTCAAACTGACAAAATATTAATGCAATGGCATTTAAACTTCTTTTTTCTATTTTATAGGGGAACATCATCTATGGGCCTTTCTCAACAAAGTGGTGACTACCAGTGCAAGGAATGTGGCAAACGATTTTCGCAGCAGCACCACTTGACACGTCATACACGCATCCACACTGGAGAACAACCATTTAAGTGTGATATGTGTGGAAAAACTTTCTCAGATGAAAGCCACCGCTTACGACATCTTCGCACCCATATTGGCATCCGTAAGCACCGTTGTGAAGAATGTGGTAAAGAATTCTTTGAACATAACCAGCTTTTGCGTCATTTCAAGCGGCATAGTGGTGAGCGACCATGGCGTTGCATGCAATGTGATAAAGCATTTTGTGAAGAAAGTGGCTTGAAAAAGCATATGTTCACCCACTCTACAGAAAGACCTTACAAGTGTGGATATTGCTCTCAAGCTTTTTATCAGCGCAGTGAATTGCAGCGCCATACCACAAATCACACTGGTAACAAATTATATAAATGTGATCAGTGCGAAAAGAGTTTTGCAGAAAGGCATAGCCTCAACAAGCACATGCAGACTCATGTGAAAATGACAGCCAGTGAATTCCATATGAGGCAGAGTATGCGCAAGCATCGGTGTGAACAGTGTGGTAAGGCTTTCTTTCAGAACTGTCAGTTGCTGAGGCATTACAAACGGCACAGTGCTGATCGTCCTTGGCCATGTCAACAATGTGACAAAGCATTTTATGAAGAAAGTGGCCTGAAGAAGCATATGTTAACACACTCTGCTGAGAGACCTTTTAAATGTGATTACTGTGGAAGAGGTTTTTACCAGCGTAGTGAACTGGTCAGGCACACAAACACACACACTGGGAATAAAATGTATAAATGTGATATGTGTGATAAAGCGTATGCTCGTAGATACACTCTTCTAAAACATGTTTCAACTCACATGGAGGGTGGTCAGGTTCCCACCCACATCTGTAATCGGAAACATCGATGTGAAGAATGTGGTAAAGCTTTTTTTGAAAAGAATCAGCTGTTACGTCATTACAAGCGCCACAGTGGGGAGAGGCCCTGGCAATGTCAGCAGTGTGATAAATCTTATTGTGAAGAAACTGGCCTGAAGAAACACATGCTTACACATTCTTCTGAGCGGCCATTTCAATGTGATTATTGTAACAAAGCTTTTTATCAGCGAAGTGAATTGATACGCCACACTGTATCTCATACAGGAGACAAAATGTACAAATGTGAGATGTGTGACAAAGCTTTTGCTCGCAAACATACTCTCAATAAACATTTTGACAGCCATATGAAAGTGTCTCAAACCCACCGTTGTGAGGTTTTATTGAATTCTTTCCAATCAACCAGTGGTGAAAAAGGATGTTTTCAACCTTCTGAAGAAAAGGGATGCTATCAACCTACTAATGACAAAGGATGTTTCCAACCGCCTTCTGAAAAGGGATGTTACCAACCAACACCCAACAAAGGATGTTTTCAGCCAGCAGGTAGCAAGGGAATGTACCAGTCATCTGGAGGTAAAGGATGCTATCAACCCACTGCTGGCAAAGGATGTTACCAACCTACTAATGACAAAGGATGTTACCAACCAACCAGTGATAAAGGGTGAGCATCAGTTGCGTGAAGCAGCACAAACTTGTTGCCCTTATCTACTTTGAGCTTAGATGATATTTGGAGCTTGGCTACTTTGAGCTGACAATCATGTGTGTTTGCTCCAGTTACATGTAACACACTGATTGGCATTTGCAGGCTGTTTTCGTTAGTCTCAAGTCTGCCATGATTTATGTTTTTTATTTTATTTTTTGTAGTAAAATGGAATGTTTATAAAGAGAAATTTATAACATTAGAGGTATATATGTTTAGGAAGATTTAATTGAATTTGTGAAAAGTATGCTGAAGCATCAAAAGTATTCAGACAATGAAAGCACATTTGTTGTGCCATAGGAGCTGTAGTATGTGTTTTTCTTTTAAGTAACATTACTTAAATCAGGTATCATTCAAAAATCTATGTAATTTCATATATTACTAAAGTGAAAATGTTTTATATCCTGCAGGTCATTGTCATTTCGATTGTATATAAATTCTTATTTTACCTCATTTGGAAGTTGTTCTATAGAACATAACATCATTTACATTATAATTTTAAGAATTACAATTAATTAAAGCTTTTTCATCATTGTAAGTGAATTCTCACCCATTATTACATTTCTTATTTAATGACATTTTTCCTTTTTAAATAAGTCTGACTGCTTTTGATTTTACAAAAAGAGCATGTACCTTTACCTTTCATGTGTTTTAGAAAATAAGAATGTGGTAGTGTCTAAGAAAGAATAAAAAGGAGAATAAATACCAGAACTTGACAAGAGAGGTGTATAGGATGCGAAAGATTTATTTGTAATCTCCCTAATCTTGGTAAATTTTAATGATTGTTAAAAGGTTTATGATGGACTCGTCTGTAAGAACTGGAACAATCTTGGAAAGATATTGCAAGAGTGTATAAGGCTATGAGTAATACTCATTAGAGTCAAATTGTAATAGTTATTGGCAGTGCGGTGACGTGTATGATTATAGAAATGGATTTTTCTTCTAGAAACTTAATTGTGAATTTTATCTGTCTATGAATTGTATTTTTTGTATGAATTTAATTTCATTTTATAAGTTGTGTTTGTAATTCTCTGAAATCATGTAAAATCTTCCTTGGGAAATTATTTTAATTTTTAAAGGCAATAGTCTGTATTGACAACATGTTCAAGTCGTGCATCATCAGCATTGAGGCTAGAGATCTGAATCAATATTAATTTCTTACTTTGTCATGAGTTTTTTGACATTCATTTTATGTTAACTTGACATTAGCTTGAAATATGTAAGTCTACATTGGCTGATCTTGTCCAATATTGTGAGGTATGATTGTTCTTGTGAATGATGGTGTCCCATTGAAGAATTGATTAATTTAAGAAAATATTTGAAGGTTGTGCATGATTTTTCAAGGAGAGTTGGGGCTTATAAATATGTGTAGTATGAGTGAATATATATGGAGTGTATAATGTTTCCCGCAGTGGAATTGGTAATAAATTACTGTAATACAATATATGACACTGCTGGTGATGGTTTCTTTGGTAATTTTTTAGATGTAAGGTTTATCTGGGAGTATTCTAATACAATTTAGGTGCTTTGATATTTGAAAGAGAGAAAAATCTTTAAAAGAAGAAATACCAAACAATGGTTGAGTTAAAAAAATCAAGGGTTAATGCAGTTTTTTTGTTTGTTTTTTTAATCTTTGAATTATGTTTTCAATTCTGCCAACCCGAAATGATCGTAGATCGAAAATTAGCTCATTTATAAAATACGACCCAATTTGAATTAATTTTAGACACATTTGTGAATATCAATAGCAGAAATAATAGTGTTAATTTCGTAATGTGTAGTTTGCGTGGCGATTTCTGAAAGGACAAGGTAAATCATATGTTTTTGTGACGGGAACTGTAAAAACCCGAACCGGTGAGACGCTTGCCTCTATCTCTTATAGCCATTTTTGATTTCGTTTGAAACCATGTATGTTGCATTCGAATTTTATACCATTTGTATCCTTTACAATAATGTGACTTATGTTAATTTTTTATAAATAAAGCATATTATTAAAATAATGAAATTGTGAGACTTTCGTTTCAAGTTTTCTGGGCCTTTGAAAGTCGAGAAAAATACAACGGTACTTTTTTTTTATGTTTGTAACCACTTGGCCAAACCTTCTAGCGCTGCGCTTTTGTTTGATTTTATTTGGTCAACATACGATTCGAGTTTTCTCGAACTTCGATCGATATAAAGAAGTAGTAAACAAGTGTTGCTACATCATAACCTCGCAATGGACGATTGGTGTCAAGTGTTGTGAATTGTGGAACATAATTTTTTTTTTTAAAAAATTAATGCTGGGTAGAGAAATTAGAGGGTGGCTGGACGTTGATTGAATCGAACGCGGGTATGGCGGCTAGCTCAAACCCAGCGTGTGCAGTTCCCAACCAGATGCAAATGGGCCAGGGTCAGCCCGTGGCCGAGGTGAAACTGTTACTCGCTCCGAAGCCTTTGATGTATCCACACCTCACACAGGTAGGCCGTGCATTGTATGATAAAGTTGGTGGTGTATTTACGAGTGTAGCGGGTATATTTCACTCTCCAGGTAGTTGCCCTACTTGTTACAGGAAGGACTCCCAGGGGATGTCCAGGTCAGCAAACCTGATGCCACGACCCTATTCTGGGTGAAGCCAGAGCAGGGTTGTGGTGGCCAAGCTTTGTTGACCCCTCAGATACAAGAAGCAATTCAACCTGTAATACATAGTCAGCAACCATCATCTTTACCAGCGCCCCCTCAACCTCAACATCACCACCACCTTCAACACACCACACAACAGCCTCAACAGCCAGAACAACAGCAACCACAAGAACCACCCCCACGACAACATCAGGTATAAGTCTTGATATTATCATAAGAAAACTACTGCACGAAAGAGTTGCTTTTTAACTTACAGCTATTTTATTTTGTTTTTAGGTCTCTCCATCGAAGAGCAAGGCAGGTGGTAAAGAGCGACCTCAGAGCAGCACCAAGAGCAGTGATGGGATTAGCCCGTGGGTATTAGTTCAGGGCAGTTTGTTTATCTTAAGAAAAGTTGTCAAATCTTGCAGGACTTACTTTGTTCTTTTGTGGGTAAATAGGCTTTGGTCATAGTTTCAGGTTATGAATATATAGGTATTTAGTTACAGGTGCATGAAACTTGTTTGTTATTTTAGCAATTTTTTCTATTTTTTAAAATTATAATTATTTTTGAAGTTGGCATGCATTTCAGATCTCATTAGTGACCTCTTTTTTTAATTTATTTATTTATATTAATAATATATTTAATGGGATAACTATATCTTTTTCTGAATTACCTTTATCTATTATGTATTTTTGGTATCACATTCATTCTGTTGACTAAAACATGTTTATTTGATTTTAGTAACAAGTAATAAAATAAATAGATTAGATCTTTATTGTTTATTGGCTTGAGGATCTGGCATGTTTGGAGTATTTTAATGTAAATGTTATTTGAAGAAATGAGATTTTTATTTTTATTACTGTTCATGGTATTTGTTCTGGTTGTTGGATATTTGTTTTGATTTTATTTATGAAAAAGAACAAAACAGATGAACTAATGGAGAAAGGTGGTTGGATGGAATCTCTCTTCTGCTTCAGTATACTTTCTCAGCTCTGGTATAGTAATTTCTGCTAAGCGTTTTTTTATGAACAGTGTAAAATATTCAGGTTTTAATTTACGTCTTCAGTGGTATTGCTTACCTTTTTGTGGGGAGTTGTTTAGCCTTTCCTGCCTAATTTAAAACATCTATACAATGATGCTGGAGTATGGCAAAGATTGGATATACAAGTTATTGTTTTGTCACAAATGTTTTGTATATCTTCGTGGTTTAAAAAATGTGTGTTTATGTAGGTCAGGCATGTGTGCACGTGTGAATATATTCATATGTGGACAAATGTGTGTAACATGTATTTCAGTTATCACTAGGGAGAGGATTTTTATGCCCTAAAAATTCTTGAAATATGCTTTTAAAAATATGCATATATGACCTACAAATTTCTTAAAATGCAGTTAAAATTAACAATATTTCATGTTTTCTACAAACCTTAGTTGATAATATTCAGGAGAAGCATGTTTGAAATGAAAAGATATACTATTTTTGTGCAAACATAATATAATATACCTTATTTCACAGGAAAAATAATTGAAGTAAATATTAACCTTAGTGAAGTACATCGTATGTCTTGTTGAATTTTTTCTACCTGGGTTCTAAAATATATCGAGAAATATCCCACATTTGCACATGTGTTTTAGCATCAATAGAACACAAAAAAACGCAAACTGTGACAAGCTCTTGCAAATCAATGAACGCTCACAAATAAATAGATTCTATGAAAAGATGAAACGGTTTAGAGATGTCTCTATTTTAACGAAATATGCAAAATATGTGCCTAAAATTACACAATTATACATCAACAGGAAAAATCGGCCGCATTTGCACTAACACATCACTCTACATAGCATCATATTCTAACCAAATGTCAAGAAACTTCACTTAGCTATGCACTGAAGCAACAGACAAAAATATGCAAAATCATAGAAGTCTGCTCCCTAGTAATCACATTACAGCTAATATTGCATGACACCTTCAACTTCATTACAACACATGTTAACTTAGTGTGTATGTTGAATTAATGTGGGTACTTCTTCAGGGAGAATTGATTTTAATAGTGGATATCAATTTTATAATTCCTTACTATACAAAACTAGCTGAACCTTAGTTTTGTACCCATGAAAGTGGGCTAATGGTTCCAGGTTTTGCTAAAAAACATAAACTGATAATTTGACCAAACAATACGTAATTCTAGAAATTAAAATTTAATTTTTCTTAAATGTACTTATTTAATTGTTCACTTGAAATTAATGTAAAATCTTTTATTGGTGTAATTTTTCCCCCTCATTTATCATTTTAATTTTTTTAATGAATAATTAGAGAGTAACAAACAAATGCCATATTGGTTTTAATACCAATATACGATTTGTTATCAGGTCCAAAATACAACTACATTATAATGAAAAGTTCCCACAGGTGATTGATTGTTTTTGCTGCACTGGCTTCTGCTAAATTAAAACATATTCTATGTAATTGTATTTTTATTATTCCTAAACAGTATATTGAAGTTAACGTAATTGTCATTTTATTATTCAAATATGTAAAATATCAAAATGTTAATCTTTTAGAGAGATATGACTTTGAAAACGATATTTAAATTGATTGAAAATGAGACCAAAATTGTTCAAAGGAAAGTTTTTAATGAAATTGTATAAATTATTTGTTGATAGAAGTTTTATTGTGTAATAAGTACAATGTAGATTCAAAGTAGGTGTACATAATCTTGAAAAATTATTCACAAAAGATGGAAATTAGTATAAAATGCTAATACGTAAGAGAGGAGATTAGTTGTATTATAATATTGGATGCAAAAGTAATTGTGAAAAGTTTACAAAACATTCTAGAGGATTTTCTGAAACATTCCTATTTCTTATAGATTGAAATTTGGCATAAAAAAATAAAATGTTATTCACAAAACACAATCGTGTAAGGTTTTGTGTAATTTCACATGATTGATTTCACCCAATTTTTTTCAGTTGTTAAAATAGAATTGAAATTGGAAGTTCTACAATTACGTATTTCAAAGGTCAAAATTTTAATTTTCTGCGTCATTTTACTTTCTGTGTGTGTCTTGTACCAGTGTGAGTGTAGTGTAGACACATTTATAGAATGCAGGGAAAAATTCAGTGTTGAGATTTTGATGAACATGCATACTTTGAGGGAAGGACTCAATAAAATGGCTTTTCTTTTCATATCTGTCTGTGAATAACACTAACACAAAAACCATGTACAGAACTTTCCCCAAAATTGAAATTCCCTCAATGATCGAATTTGAGGACTTGATAATTTGAAACTTATCTTTTATTTTTCACTGTGCATATTTTTTATGAAGAGACTACAGGGGACATTTTCAATTTTTCAAAAAATATGCAGAAAAGCAAAGTGTGTTTATAAATTTGGCATAATCTGTAGTTTCATTAAAACCTCAAAATTTTTGAAACGTGCAAAAGTTCACATTTTTTACCTGCTCCTACAAACACGTTATTGAAGTTAAATTTTTTTTTAATGAAATAATTGCTCAAAATTAAATTTTAAAATAATGTCAATTACTATTACAAATATGGATAGTTTTGCATCAAATTGTGCCACTTTGCCAACAACACCTACACCAGATTTTGTCAAATATGGCTCAAAATTTTTTGTTCAAATAGAGCAAATTGCAGTTATGAATGAATTTTAGTCAAACCTGAAATTTCGAAAATTGTTTTCAATACCCACCCTACACATTCGTTCTTGAAGCTAGAGATATACAGTCTATTTCTCAATATTAAATATTTAAATAATTTCACATACAGTTTTCCTTGATTATAGTTTCTCTATGACTTTACATGCTTTGAATTAATAGAATGCAGTGCCCTAAATCACATGACACTAGTGCCATTTGAATTCTGAAAAATTATGCAAGTTTAAAATTTTAATTTAATTTTATATCTTATGTTGATATTTACATCGCAGATTTATTTTATAGTTCAATGCAATTTTTATGAACAAACGTATATGAAAACTTTTGTAAAGTTTTTTGAAATCTCAATTTTTTTTGAAAATGTATTTCTTTTGTTGTACTGCACATCATAAGTGAACTACTTTGTGGGATTTTCATTAAAACCTCTTAATTTTTAAAACTTGCTCATTTGAATTTCTTGCTTTTTTTGCTGATGAGGATTCAAGAAATAGTTGATGAATTAGTAGGATACAACCGATGACAATCCTGCCATTTTCGTGTTAAGTTTGATATAGTAATTGCATCTTTTCTATATGTCATGATGCCAAAGTAAGATTTGTAAGTAGTACTGTTGCAAGGATTAAGTGATATTACAAATTCATGCAATGATATGCTGTTTTAGTAAGCAACTCCCTGCTCGCCATTTCAGAATCCTGATTTCAAAAGATTGTGTTCTGTTGTCAAACATGTGTAACATACTGATAAAAAATGCACAGTTGAACTCCTTATGAGCCTCTGGTTTAGTTTGTCATTTTATCTACAAGGACGGTATGTGTTCTCTCAAACAGGACCCATCCTGCTCCAAACCAGAAACGCATGCACTGCTTCTTCGAAAGCCTACCCTCGTGCAAAAGTAAATGTAGCTCGTATTCCGTAGTTAATACAGCACCATCCATGTTTGTGATATGAATAATTGAGTTATGGCATCTTTCACTTACACAACTGCACCGAAAAAAGGCTTGCTAGTAGAATGACTGCAAACATAAGTGATAATGATGTGTTTTCATTACATTGGTTTTCTAAATGATCCCCTACTTTGAGGTGATTTTTAAAAATATTTCTTATCGAAACTGGGTGTTCAACTTGTGTGTAACCAATCTTTCCATATGAATTTGAACCTTGTGTAATGTATTAGTCAAGTCTTCACAATTTTTATGAGATTCTACCATTCTTAAATTTTATATAAAGAAATTTTTATGCAATTCCTGTTGGATTTTTCCGCTTTCCCTTTTTTAGAAGGAAACTACCTTCTTTCCTTATTCATCAGCAGGGCTCAGAGATGACGTGTCATCTTTTCATAGGTGCATTCTAGACATAACTATCTTGTAAATTAATGTTGATCACTATATGTAAGTGAAAGAAATGTGTAGTTATTGGGTCATTTTTTTGCCATTTTTCTATTTTTAGGTATTTTTTTGGCATTTTGCATTATTTTGTTTGCTCTTTGTTTTTTGCTAGTGAGTGCTTCATGAATTTACAATGACAAACTAAAACAAAGTTTTATTGTATCACTAGATCATGACAAAATTCGGAGTGGAGTGGACTCTGATTTTCGAACTCTCAAAATTACGTGGTAACTTCCTCGACCTTTTAAAAGTAACGGTTGGAAGATTGGAGCTAATGATTACATTTTTCCCTAAAATAAAGACTTTGTATTAAATTTTTTTATATGTAAATAAATTTTATTTAAAATCATAAAATTCATTGAATAACTAAACATTTTCATATACATTTTTTAGTATTTAAAAAAACAAAAGATATTTTCCCATCTGTCTGATATTTCAGTGACCAAATTCTTTGTATTTAGTGGTTTCCATATAACTTTGTTTTTTATTTTGTCTTTTTGTGTTTTGGAGTACTGCTTTCAGATATCTCGTTTGGGCTGTCTCTATTCTCTGTTTGAGTGTCCATGTGTTGAGTGTCCTCTGTTTGAGTGTCGGTACTATATTGTTTGTTCTCTTTTTGTCTCAGGATAACGTTAGTGTTCATTGACTAATGAGCAGGTATTGAAATATATTTGACGATGCATTTTTAATGAAATGATTAAACTTTTGGAAGAGGAGTGGAAAGCACAGACATCTTTTTTCTTCTTTTCTGCCTGTATCATGTTTTTTATTAAATGGATGTGTTTTTGTTACATGGTGTTTTGAAAAATGTTTGTAGCATGGCGTTCTGAATAATTATAATTTTGTTACATGAAGTTTAAGTAAAATTAATAATAATTTCTTTTCACGATTAAGTAATATTAGTTTAATTATATTTGAATTATTTGCGATTGAATTGACAAGTATTTTATTTGGAAGAAGAATTAGTTTTTGAAAAAATAATTATTAATAAAATAGATTGTTAATGAATGTGTCAATCTCAAAGAAATGGATTTGCTCCAGAAGTCATTTCGGTATTATTTTACTTTTTGTCAAACTGATAACTAAACAAAGATCTCAAAAATTTACTTCCTGATTTGGCAAATAATTTGATACACATTTTCCTGTAATTTATTTTCAAATTATTGAGCAAAAAATAAATTTCATACACATTATAAAATATAGAAAATAAGGGAAGGATATTGAAAAAACTATTGCCATCTATACATTTTTGAAAATTTATGTAATTAAAATTCTGAATAAAATAAATATAAACATTTTTGAGGTGACCTGCAGTTATGTTAATTGACAAAGTTGTGCAACTGTTGTGACAGTCCGTAACAGGAAAGATATTTTATTGTTAAAGAATTAACACTTTACTTTTTCTGTATTTGAATATGATGCTTATGGAGGATTACCTGACAATTGTTATAAATTTGACCATTTTTGATGTATTATTACTGCAATGTGGATGTTTATATTTAAGAAAATGAAAGTGTGGGCAGTTTATTATTTTTTGAAAGTATTTGTTGACAAATTGTGGTACTGATGCTAGAAATAAGTAGGTTATGTTCAATTGAAAATGCTGTAAAATAGCTTATAACGAGAAAATATAAATGTCTTCTAGATATTGTGATTTCATAATTATTTTTATATTAGTTACAGATCACTTTGTTATAATGTGATATACAGAATACTATCTGAAAGTTTAATTGTAATAACAATTTTGTTTATTTGTTCACAGAACATCGTCAAGAGGGAGTAGCTCACGTCGTAGGGACCATTTAGATGGGGAATATCGTTGCAAAGACTGTGGAAAACTCTTCTCTCAACCACACCATTTGACTCGCCATGTTCGCATTCACACAGGTGAACAACCTTTTAAATGTGACATGTGTGGACGCACATTTTCAGATGAGAGTCATCGCCTGCGTCACTTAAGGTCCCACATTGGTGTCCGCAAACACCGCTGTGAGGAATGTGGGAAGGAGTTCTTTGAGCATAATCATCTTCTTCGTCACTACAAACGCCATCGTGGTGAACGCCCTTGGCATTGTACACAATGTGATAAAGCTTTCTGTGAGGAGAGCGGATTGAAGAAGCACATGCAGACACATTCAACTGAACGGCCTTATAAGTGCCAGTATTGTGGAAGAGGATTCTTGCAACCCAGTGAATTATCACGCCACACTACATCGCACACAGGAAATAAAATGTTCAAATGTGATGTTTGTGAGAAAGCATATGCTCGTAGGTATAGCTTAAGCAAACATCTGCGCACTCACCTTAAGGAAGGGTCATCTTCATCATCTTCCGAATCCAATCGAAGCTCTAGTAGTAGCCAGACCGTGTGGCCAAATTTTCAGCAGCAGAGTCAGTGACAACGGTTGAACGTTTCTTTCAATGGTCACAAGATAAAGAGCAATAGCAGGTGTGGCAACAGCTGCAGTAGCAGCAGTAGTGGATCTGTTGCATCAATTCCATATTCAGAATTCAGTTGCAGCAAAGCAATATGATGTACAGGCCAGCAAGAAACTGTGCAGCTTTCTTAGTTGGTTATTGGACAGTGCAACAGAATTGAAAAGTCATTACATTTTTGTATCATGTGCCCTCCGGTAAAATTCTGCATTAATGACATTTCTTTGTACGGATGTAATCAACATTTTTGAATAATTTTTTATGTGATCTAATATTTCAAATATTTTATGAATCTCAGGAAATGCACCCACTCAAATGGTAATTTCATCTAATTGCTGGGTAGAGGCCTGGAAAATATATTTACCTTGTTTCTGTTATTATTACCGTTATAATAATAATAATTATAATTAGCCTTATTTTTTTATTGCTTAAATTGAAGCAAGAAACAACTGTGCCAACTGTATACTGAACAGTGTGAATGCATGTACTTCATATGCAAGCAATGACAGCAAAATGGACTGAGTAATGATAATATCCATGAACAATTCAATATCCACAAGGTTATTTATTCTGTACAATAGTATGTCTTCATTTTCACTTTTATACCAAAGAAATCATTTTTAAATGTCTCTTGTAATTTACTCCATAATAAATCCTTTCCCTCATTGCTGCATTATTTCTCACATTTAATTATTTGAGACATTTTGCACCTTCTGTATTTTTTTCCATACATTCCCATTAGTACATTCCGAAGGTACCTGTGAGTGAGAGTTATGGAGTTTTTCAGTTGATTTTGTTGGCATAGCTGTGATGTGCTGTACATGAAGTTTTCATGATTATGGTCAATGTGTAGATTTCTCATGCAGATAACATCTTGTAATGAATGTTTTAATTCATGTGGAGTGTATAAGGTTCACGAAGCCTTCATTTGTTAATACTTGAGTATGATAAAAACAGCAGTTGCTGTTAATTCATTTAATTTGTATGGAATATGAAAAAATGTTCTGTTCTACAGAATTTGTTATTTTAATGGTTTTAGTGTTTGGCTTGTATTTAGCGGTTTCTGTTGTTTGTCAGTTAAAGAAATATCCATTCTGGTATTGGGTATTTAATAGGTACAAATGCAATGCATCTCTAAAAAGAATCTGGAAGTTGGTACCTTTACTTTTTGTTCCAGCACGGTGATGCACAACTCTTTTTATGTATATGAACTACATATTTGTATTGCCAATAACACCAACGAAAGCGCTTTAACAAAACGGAAGTACATTGTATACTGTACACAGATTGAATGTGATTGTCGCTAGGTTTTTATGCCATGATTACAATGGAAAAAACAATTATAAGCTTTTATGAGTTCTTTAGTGCTGCCATACAAAGACCCCCCCCCCCCCCCATTAACACTTCCAATGATTAACCTGTTGCAAATTGTTAAAAGATTTTATGCGTCTTAGTTGAACTGCCAGTCACATTCTATTATTTGTGTATGCACAGTGTGTACAGTATAGACATTCTCAGGTATTTGAAGGAGATGCAGGTCTATAAATAAACAGGATAAGATTACTTTTAACGCATTGTCATTCAAGAGCACTTGTTGAACGCAACCTAGAATTTGTTGATTAAGTATTGTTCCATTCGTTACACTGAAGAAAAGAACTTCCAGTTCAATATACATGAACGTTTGTGAGAGTGGTAATGGGGTATGTAAAGATGTGTGAATATCTTGATTCTAACCCAAATCGTGAATACACTAGGAACACAGTTTCTCATGCTGGGTTTTGAATTGAGTACTGCAATGTCAGAAAGAGTGAGATGCCTTTCTTGTGGTAATTTTAATTTAATTGTAATTTTATACCTTTCTGTAAAGTATTTATATGCGTGGAGTGTGATTTTTCTAACAATAAAGAACCCAATAAAGTAAACATACCACTAATATTGTATTTTTTCTTGACATTGGAAATGAATACATAATTGATCAGTAAAAGTTTGGAAACCAATTCATACATCATTCCATACAGAGTAATGGGGTAAACATGTATAAGACACTGTATTGGTGCATTTGTCTGTGAGTGTTCTTGTCATTCTGAGGAAGGGGGAAGTTGGAAAGCTCATTTTATTTCCAACAATGCATAAAAAAGATTAGTAAATCTTTATTAAATGTGTTAAAACACTGGAATGTGATCAGAGTAAGTTTTTCCCCCTCCTAAACGGATAAGTCCTGTTGTTTCTCAAAAAAATAAAATAAAATAAAAATTGGTAGAATCCTGAAAGTCTGTTCAATTTTCATATGTTACATAAAGGGTATAGTAGTAGTTTTTATGATGCAATTGATTGAAAACCTCAGAAATTTTCTTGTTAGAGAGTTAGTGCCTCAGCCAACACAACTGAATAAAACATGCTGCCAAATGCTTATTCTCATTTTAATAAACATGTAATTTCAATTTCGCTGGGTTTATTCTTCAAAAAGCAAACAAACTAAACCAAAAATCCCCACACTAACTTAAATGAATTGTATTAAAATAAAATAAATCAGAATTGGGAATTCTCATTAAACAAATTGTTTGTGGATTGTCTTTAAAAAGAATAATTCTAATTTTTGTCCCACAAAAGCAATGGGTTTGCATCTCTTTGACATTGCTCATACAAAATCGCATGTGAAGTGAATGTCCTTTTACAGGAAAGATATGAAACACACTAGTGATTATTTTCCTTTATATAACATGTTAATACATTATAAAAACAATGAAGGTACAATTACAAAATTAATTCTAAGAAGTTTCTTTAAGTACATAACTTTTTCATTAAATGTGCACATAGCTGGTTTTGCAGGTGCAATAACACCTTACCATACCTGGAGGAATTTACTCACTATGGCATATGAACACAATTTCAAACTTATAAACTGTGAATGAACTATTCTAAATACATTCAAGCATTTATTAGAATTTTGATACAAACTTTTAATTTTCTTTGGCATAGATTAAGTAATGCAAAACAAAAAAAAAAATCTTTTAGGGTCTTTCAAAGATTTTGAGTGAATATCAAGGGCAGGGATTCCCACTTCTAATTCAGGGAAGTTAAAAAGTCACATTTAACCAATTAACAATTTACAGAAGTTTTAATAGTTACCAGTTAACATTTAGTGTTAAGACAATCCATTTTGTTAAAAATTTCAGCAGACTAGAAATGTCATATGCTCATGCAAAATGGGGAAAGTAGAACTAGAGCAGATTTTCTGCACATGAAAGAAAGATTTTATAAATGATTACCTTATTGTATCATTGTTACTGAATTGTAACAATAATATATAATTGATAATGAATACATAATGTATAAAAACAAGTTTTTATCAAAATCTGTATTATATACGAAGTAACTACATTTTGCACTGTAACTTCAGCGCTTTTCTCATCCTTCACTGTCACTGCCCTCCCTGCTTTCTTTGCTCTCATTACTGTTGGGTTTGTTATTTTTGTGTTCAACGCTTTTTGATTCTCCCTGCAAGGCTTTTTCTATGTTACATAGAGTCTTTTCTTTACTACTGTCTGTTTTCCTCTTTTACCTCAGTCTGAGCAAAACTGCCTTTTTCACTTTCCTCACTTGCACTGTCACTGTCACTGTCACTAGCAATGTCTTTGCTCTTTGACTTTACCATATTTGTAGCTTGTTTTAACTTCTTATTTTGTTTCTGTTTCTTTTTCAACCTTTTAGCCCGTTTTTTGGCAGTTCTTTCTTCTGCTAATCTTCTGTTCTCTTCTAATTTCATGTGATATTCATCATCACGTAACTCCTGCACAAGAACAGACATCATTTACTTAAATTATATTACACAAACAAAACCACCATTTCTAAATTCATAGTCTTATATAATTTATAATTTAAAAATGACAATGCAGGATGCGCATATCTATATTTAATATACATTTCAGCCAATTACCACATTCCATTGCATCAATAAGCCTTCAACTGATATTAGAATCCTTGCACCCTATCTATGGATGGACTGTTTATTGACAATGATGGTAATAGCGATGAAAAAAACAAAATAAAACTTGTTAATTTCAAAGGGTTTTCACAGTCCTTTTGACTGGTTGATATTTACATTCTTTCATTGTGTACATACTTTTTCTGCCTTTTCTTGAATAAACTTTTGTCGTGCATATTCCTTTCGACGCAAATGACGATATACGTGGAACTCTCCACTACCCGCTCCAGCACTAGACCCCATAACATTTCTCACAAAATCAGGGACATGAGGCATGCTTTTCTCCTTAGGCCTTTCTGGGATAGGTACAGGTTTATCCTGTGGAGGCAATTTTTAGAGCTTACAAATACACGCGTCTTTAACATGATACATAAAAAATAAAACAACAGGAATACAAAAAACAATAATTCAAACTTGGAAAGCAAAAATTAAACATAAAAGTAAAAAAAGACACACATACCGGCTGTTTCATCAACTTTTCCAGACGTAATCGTTGAAGATCCGTTGCAGTTTTCGCAATAATAGGCTTTTCGGTATCGTCCTTAAAATGTTTGCGTTTATGTGCCCCAGACTGAGAATCCATTGCCATTTCACCAGCCACTTTCTCGAAATTTAACCTTCTATGTAAACTAAGCAAACTTGAAATGAACTACGAACTGCCCTATTACTAGAAGTTTCCAAATATCAATATTAAACGTCAATGTTCTCAGACGTCAATTTATTCATTACTGAAAAAGACATTACTCTAATTGGTTTTATATTTTCATTTCAAGGAATCTATCTCGCACAAGACCACACATGATACAAACGACGTCGACGTCGACGTGTGTTTACAATTTACGGAGGACGTATTTTGTATTTGCACTTGCGTATCGTAGCGTGATATATACTGATATATACTCTCTGGCAAAGAGTATATGCCAATATATGCTCTCTGGCGTGAGTAGCGTACAGCATGGTACAGCAGTAAACACTGGAGTGCAGTACCTCGAACGAGGCACTATCGATCTTTTGCGCATACGCAGTTTAAGTTTCGCCTCACTAGAGTATCTGCACATGCGCACAAGTTCGATAATGCTGTACGCAATGGCGCGCAACTCCTATATATATGCAACGCAATCGTCCCAATAAGGAATTTGTGGATGCCATAGCGTAGCCCAGACACATAATCAAATGCTACACCTACCAGGAAATGCTTATTCTTTTCTCCTCCGCATTTTCAACTTGACTTGGGATAAATATTCCTTACTAAGGATTTGGCGTGAAGAAATTGTTATTCCAATCTCTAAAGAATGAAAGATCAGAACAATGACTTCAAGTTACTGCAGTATCTCGCTCACAAGCGGCATGTTCAAGCTTTTAGAAAGAATAATAAACAAACGTCTGGTCTGGCTCCTAGAGGAAAGGAATCTATTTGCACTTTTTCAGTGTGGTTTAGTCTCCCTTACCTATTAGTCCCCCTTGCCACTCAGATCTATACGTCCTTCGTGCTACGACAAAACCGTGTAGCAAATATTTTTGGCATAGAGAAAGCGTATGGCACCACCTGAATGTACGGCATTCTTTGCACCTTGCTTTCTTGAAGCCTTAGGGCACGACTCCCTTCGATTCTAGTAGAATTTCTTTCGCCAAGATCTTCCCACGTCTGCCTTGGTGGCACGTTATATACACGTCACAAGTTAGAAAACGATGTCCCCCAGGGATCAATTCAGAGTGTCACTCTGTTTGCCATTGCTATCAATAGTATCGCATCAGTAATTTGAGAGTCTGTGAAAGCATCAGTCTTCGTTGACGACTTTAGTTTATTCTGCTTCTCGAAGAGCAAGCAAATTATTGAGAGGCACTTACAGCTTGTCCTCAACAAATTGCAAGAATGGAGCGATAAAACTGGATTCACGTTATCCACCTCAAAATCTAGTTGCATGCACTTCTGTAGAATATATCGCCTCCATAATCATCCTGATCTTTTTTGGGGGGTCATCAACTTCTCTTCGTCGAATATGTCACTTCCTTGGCCTGACATTCGACAAGAGTTTAACATGGCGAAAGTACATTCAAAACTTGAAGAGACGCTGTGTATCTCAGTTGAATCTCCTTCGCATCCTTACTGGTAGATCATGGGGCGCAAAGTACGTCTTTTGTGCCAATATAGGACTATCATCCGCCCTATCTTAGATTATGGGTGTATTGTTTACAGGTCAGCGTCTCCATCGACCCTCTGTTCATTGAATACCATACACATTACCGGTATACGGATTAGTACAGGCGCATACTGCACGAAACGCATTGAATGTTTGTTGGCCGAGGCTCTTGAACCATCTCTTAGGCAAGATATTGTACTCGGCCTCTATAGTGCGAAAGTATAAGCCATAAATACTCCTTCGAGTCAAACAGTTCTTCGCGCAAGTCACAGGACATCGTACGAACTCAGACCATCGTTACCCCATTCTCCGGGTATCCGTCTCTACACGCTCTTGCAGAAATTCGATATAAAACTCCCCATCCCTGTGACCCCCCCCCCGTAAATCTTGTCTCCCTTGGAAGTTTCTCCGGCCTAAAATAACATGAGATTATCATACTTCTCCAAATCCTCCAATATATTTCTTATAGAATTTCATTAGACGAAATCCTTGTATCTCGGCTATAACTTCATATACACTAATGGTTCCTCCCAGAATGGTAATGTAATGTTTGCCTTCTACTGCCACAGTGCCCTGCGGAATCTTTGACTAGACTCTTCGTGCAGCGATTATACTGCAGAAAAATATGCGCTCTTGGAGGCACTTAAGTTCGCTGAATCGATGACATTAAAAGAGGTTGTAATCTGCAGTGATTCAAGAAGCTCGCTCGAATCTATCTCCTGCTTCTCTTCTTGTGACCCTCTGACAATAATCATCCAACACCAAATCCATAATTTACTGGTTCGTCGCTATAATTTTTGTTGTTGTTGTTGAATCACTAGTCACTTTGGGATAACAGGGAGCAAAATTGCTGTCCAGGCAGCAAAGCTCGCCACAAAGAAAACTGAGGTACACATCCTTGCAGTTCCAACAATCAATACTAAGCTGTTTATCAAACGTATTCTCAGTGCCTGGCAAACAGAGTGGCAGAACTCAGATTTTAAACTCAAGGATCAAGGATTTCATATAGCCTCGAACTTCATCTCGTTGGTCAAGACGCGGGAAGATAATTCGGACACGCCTTCGGATCTGTCACTGTCTTTTCTCCCGTGGACATTTTCTCCGCGGTGCGATAGTTGCGAGACAGATCTTACCGTGGAGCCGTTGAGCATGTTCTCCTGCACTGATCTAATTTAAATGATAGCCGGCTAAGGTTTCACCTTGCTAGCTCTCTAGCACAGTTACTTGGAAATGAATCTTCTCTCTGTAAGCTTTTTGGCTTCTTATGAGGGTCTGACATTTACAGCATTATCTGAGAGAGAAGGATTATGCCAATTATTTGGCTTATAATCGAAGATTTAAAAGTGTTTATCTGGCTCTTTACTGCCAACCCCTTTTTAAAATAATTGAACACGTATATTTTCAGTCTTACTTACATTTTACCGTGCATTAAAAAAATGGTTGAGTTTGTCACTGATACAGTGCGTATTGCTCTTAAAAAACATTTGACATGGGCGCCAATGACCTTAGCTGTTGGAGTGCCCTTAAACCTTAATCATCATCATCCATCCTATATTCCTCCTTGGTGTGTGGGAGGGGAAATATAAAAATGTTTTTGTCGAATGTGTCATTACTAGACCTCGGATTTTATTACAAATGCAATTTTAGTTCCTTTAGAATGTTGTGGAAAATAATTGCAGAAGTTTGCTAATCATGAAAAAATAGATTACTGTAAGCATCTAATAGTGCCTAAAAGGACGGTTGATGCCTGTTTTAATATCTTTTTGCCGAAAACGGGCAATTTTGAAGAATTATAATATTTTAATTACTCATTTTTTTAAATTTTCTTTTACTGAAACGCAAATATTTTCCCGAATTGTCGAAAACGTGAATATTCCCTGGTCAAATACGCAAATGACTAGGGGTACCTAAATCGTATCCACCACACCGAACACAAGGAGCTCTGCAAGTTAATATAAAGAGTAAGTTTCACGCGCTTTAGGGCGCACTTCTTCGGCAAAGGCACCCATTCCCAGAGTAGCTGCTTATTGAGAGGTTGAGGCTTCTCGACGTGGCGCATTGCCAATGCAATCCAGGCGAGGCTTATTATACTGCAATTTATCTAACTCCGCTCCTGTCACCATAGTGACTTCACTATAGCTAACGATTTGATGAAACCGTCAAAGGCTGGTATTACTCGCGCAACTTTTCTTCAACGATGGATTGAAGAAATGCGGGTAGAGTGGGGGTATTAGTTACGAAATCGGTCACTAGATTTTATGAAGCAATGCCAATCTCTGGAGAATCAGTCACGCCTTCGTAACGTTCTCAATAATTTGCGTTCTAACTTTATCAGGAGTTCGAGGTATCTCCTGTGATAGATTCGTACCTGCTTCGGACATTTCTTTAGATTTTTGGTGAAAATAACCGATAGAAGTTCTCGTCTTCAAAAGAAAATTGTTTCTTCTTCGCGCCAGTGAAGATGTGTTTGGAATGTTGTCATCAGTGCTCGCTGCGAGCTTTTGCCTTCATCTGGTTTTGTGCCAGAGAGGGGGAAGCAAGGTCATCGTTCAAGAAAAGTTGCGCGAGTAACACCTGCCATGGGGCAGAGTTGGATAAATCGCAGTATAGGTCAGGTAAAAGCCTACAGTTAGAAAGGCAAAGCTTAAAAAATACGGCCCAAGTCTTGAACCCCTAGAAAGGAAAATTATCATTCAAGTTTTCTTGTGTGGTGTGCGTGTGAGTGCTTCTCAAAATTTTAATATTCAAAATTATAACATCGCCCCAAATCCATCTGGTGTAGGAATCTCTAACATATTCACGGGGGAAGGGGGTAATTGGATTAGACAATGAGAGCGCTCTATTTTACTACTCTTTCCAATTTTACCGAATGTACGAAAAAAATCTTAAAATTAGCTTCAGCTATTTTACTTGGCAAAAGATATTCACAATATGAATTCTACCAAGGATACAAATGCCATTTTGAAATCAAAAATCGAGTCGTAGGATAAAAGGGCTCTTGCATAATCTCTGCTCATTCTTTCCGGTAGTAGAATGATAACGGAAAATCTTGGAAGAAAATATAAGTAAATAATTAGTAGATAAGTAAGAAAGTAAGTTAAGTTAGAAAGTAAATAATTCAAAAGATATGTTTGAAAAAGTAATGGTGGTGCAGAATAGTACAGGCTTTCTCGTATTAGTTTTCTATTTTCGTTGGTTTGGCTAGCTATTCAAATTTTCACGTACTTTTGCCAAATGCTATCTATCGCCGCCCAAAGCACATTTTTTGGAACTTTTCTCAATTTTTCGGTTTCGTAATAGAAACGAAATATTACTTTATTTGGAGTTTTTACGAAAATGGCGTTTAAGCGTTACTGCAAATGCGGAATTTGAAGCTTTTTCACTGAAAATTTTTGATTTTCTATAACTGAGTGTGTTACACAAATCCCGTCTCTGTCCCCTTCCATCGATCTTCTGCACTCATGCAGATATATTAATACTCAATGTAGTCGATTACTACATCGTGCACATTTTGTAAATCCAGCGTGCGCAACAGGTGTATGGTGCACAAACTCCAAACTCCTCCCTCCAGGGCCCGAAGACACGCCCTGACGCGCCAAGTTATTAAAACTTAAGTATAGTTCGCTGATGGGTGCTGACGGGTTAATTTTGAATCCGTGTCAATATTTACTATATCAATACATTGTAATGTTTTTGTACCGATGGAGTTTACATACGACCGAGTGAAATACAGGGAACTTCTTCGAACAAAATCGAATTTGGGTGATATTCAATTGACGTTACCGCGGGTGCCCCCAAGTGTGTTGGATATTGACATACGTGACGAAGAGGTTAGATTTTGCATTGGATTTTTAAATTCTAATACGAAGGCCCTAAATTAATTTCTGGAAATCGATGTTGGTTGTGTTCAAACAATTTAGTTATTTTGCAGATAACTCCACCCACAGATGTACAGAATGGGTGTTCATTTCCATTATGTACCAGCAGTGTTTTTGAAGGGCAAATTTCTGAAGCAAACTACATGACCTTAGGAGATGATGTAAAGAAAGTCATTTCTTGTTATATACATGTAAAGGTATGTCGTCAATTAGTTAATAATATTTAAGAAATTTGATAATTTGCTTTTAGTATTGCACCTTTCAGTTTGAGATTACGAAGTCACACCCAGTAATGAATTGAATAGCAATGTAAAATTTTGTGGATTCAAGAGAAAGTACAATAACATTTTCTTTGTAATCCATACTGTAAAGAAAAACAAAACAAAGAAGCAGACTCGTGTTTACATGTACATAAATTAGTCCAACATTGAGTTCACTGTTATTTCTTTTATAATAATATAAATGAGTTTGCACAAATGTGCTCTTCATGTTGTTATAATAAGCTTTCAAGCAATTTGGAGTTTTGGTTCCAATTTTGCTATTCCACATATTGATAATTGCCTTTGCACACTGAAATGGTATTTGTCACACACACTTTCATATTTATCACATACACAGCTGTCCATTGTGTCGAGGAAAGTCTTTGTAGTCCAGATGAAATGGTGGAATTCGTGTATGGCCATCCAAGTGACGACATGTCATAGTCGGTAACCTGGTCCTGCCGATTCTCAATTTATCATGGCATCTGTGGTATAGAAGGATTTTTTTATGTAATCTTGTTTCTTTCTGCTCTCTTCCATTGCTTTTTGTAGTTTTATGGCATTTTGTATTTAGTAAATTATTTCTTAAATCTTTCAGAAAAAATGTTTTCTTGCCATCCCATATGGCAGTCTGGAGAGTGTGCGTTTAGAGACACCTAGTGCTTTTTTCAGGTATGTTGCCTTTAGTTTTTTCAGGTTGCCATTTTGTAAGGTGGGGCCAGATAATCGATATGCCATATCAATTGTTATGAAGGTCGTTCCTGGTGTCTGTAGTTGCATTCCAAGATAGTTTGGAGGTCAAGTGGTTTTTTGTTCAGTGTGAAAGTGTCATCTTGTGCCACTTTTTCTCCTTTTCGGAACGCAATGTATTCTGTTTTCTCTGCATTGATAAGTAAGTTCATTTTGTTTGGTCCAGACCAGCAAAATATCAAAGGTTTCTTGCAGATTTTCCTTGCATTTCAGTGCTATTGCAATGTTGTCCACATATACCAATATTTCTTCATCTTCTATCTTTTCTGCATTGTCCCATAGCATGATTATAAATAGTAGCGCACTCAGCGGATCACCTTGCATCACTCCTAGGTTTTGGTTGATCAGTCACAAAGTGCATATGTTGTCATCTATTTGTACATTATTTTCTGCTATGATGTTTATGATTAATTTTGCTAGCCATGTTTTTCCTGCCAGGTCTGTCACTTTCTGTGGGAGCCTTCGTCTGTTTACTGTGTTGAAAGCCTTGGAGAGGTCTATAAAAATAGCATATGACTTTCGATGCGTCTCTTCTAGCTGTCCATTGATTCTTTGCATCAAGTTCTCCACTGCTGATATTGTAGTTCACCCTTCTCCGTATGCAAATTGTTCGTCGGGTAGTAGGTTTTTGACTTTTTCCATTGGGCTTATGGTGAGGAGTTTAGTTAGTGTTTTGTAGGCTACTGTTTCTAAGACGATCCCTCTGTTGGAGTTCAGGTAGCTTGGATTTCCCTTTGCCTTGCATAGCGGTTTCAGAAGGGCTGTATGCCCTTCAGGGGGGAGTTTTCCTGCCTGAAGTCTACTGTTCATTATTTTGGTCCATGCTTCTCCAAGATTTGGAAGAGACTGTTTCATCTGCTGATAGAAGAGATCGTCTGGTCCCCCTGCTTTTCTGTTCTTGGTTGAAGAAATTGCTACCCTCACTTCAGTTTCCGTTAAGGGTTCACATTAGGGAGTTTGTGCACCCTCAAACATTAAAGCACTATTGATCTTCTGCCCATGCGCAGTTCAAGTTACGCATCACTTTGCACCTGCGCTTGCACATAAGATCTATAATGCTGCTGCTATGGCATTCACAAACTCCCTATTCCTCCAATTCTTCATGAATGATTTCAGGTCTTTGTGAAATAGTTCTTTGTATATGCTCCTCCCAAATATGCATGGGTGTGTCAGTAGGAAAATGTGTCTTGTCTTGGTTTCAGAGCACAATAGGGGTCTTTGTAAAGTTCGTGTATATTTCTTTTATATGTAAACAATATGCCATATGCATTTGGTAATTATTAAATAGTTCTTCTTTAAGAATACTGTAATAAGAGATTTCAACCCAAAACTCAAGAATGTTTAATAGAAGCTGCTGTGACATTGTTGCAGAAACTTAGCAATTGTAAACCCAAAAGAAAACAGTGCCAATATCTGTTCTCAATTCACTTAAAAAATACTACATCTAGATAGCCTAATATTTTTACCAAAAGCTTTAGTTAACTCAAGAAACAAAATTTTATACAAATATTTTATTTGTATAAAATTACTTCAAATGGAACACCCATGTAGATTTTATCCCCAAACTTACTCAAATGTGTTGTGGTTTGAAAGTACTTGTGAAAAACTGTAGATGACTGGGTAATTTTGGTAAGACATTCTTTACAAATGTGCACTGTGCATGCATGCACCAGAAACACAGCAATGTTTTGAGTCTGGCTGGGTCTTGTAGATCAGCTATTTTTATATCATGCAAAATCTGAATATATAATTATTTTAATGATTTCCAACCCTTTGATATTTTGTTGGCTGCTTTGACAACGAATGTCCGCAAATAAAGTAGTAGTGAAGAGAAAGGAAGTGAAAGTAGTTGTAATGTGAGCTATTTATTGTTGTGCTAGAAATTCAAGATATAAACTTTCTTATGATGAGTGTCTCTGTGTTTTATTTTTTCATAATTTCTAAATGGATTAATAACTTGGAAGTTGATATGCCACTATTTTTCAAGAATCTCAGACTTGAACTTGTCAGATTACCTGACTGATCCTGCAGTTTAAAGTAACATACCAAGTAGAGATAGAGTCAACATTTGATGGTTTTGATTAAATGATATCCAGAGACAGGACAAAAAGAAAGAATTTGGAGAAAAGACTGAAAAATTCAAAATTTTTACTCCAAGAGCTAGTATTTGTTGTTAAAATTTCTTTCCTAAGAGCACATTTCTGTTCTTTTTAAGGGTTCTCTGAGCAAAGATATACAATACTTCTATAATAAATATTATTATAAAATTATTTGTTTATACTTTTTCCAATAATTTAAGAATATATTTACATGAGAAAGTTGTAATGTTAAATAATTTTTGCATTGATTTTGATAATATTAAACTGCTAGTCATTTTACACCGTAACACTAGCGCTAAAGTTATCTTTAATTTGTATGTATTTTCCATGTTTATTCATAATAAATGCACTCCAAATACTATATAAATTGTATGTATTCATTTAAAAGTTACACAAATCCCATGGTTTCTCATACAAATAAAAAGAAGCCCCTGGGACTCATAGACTCTGTGAATTCTGTTGGGTTAAAATGCCAAAGAGAGTTTTATGAACTACTGCAAAGATCGACAGATTTAAATCGTGCAGATCACACTTTGAATCACATTGAGTTCTTATCTTACCAACTTAGTGTATAAATCAAACTTGTTACTTAAGAGAGAACGTCTAAAGAAAAATATTTATCAATTCTATATAAATATACATCAACATAATACTAGTCAATCAAATTATCTCCATATATTCAACTATTCTTCAACAATACTCTGCCAGAAAGGAACATACTACACAGACGAATGTCTCTGAAACAAACCCCATGGATATTTAAAGAAGACACCCATATTAAAAAGCAAATTAAGAAATTTCTCATAAATATGTATATCACATGTTGATAAATTTCTTAATTGCTAAATAAGTTATTGATTCATCCTGGGTAATAGATAACTATACCACAACAAGACACTAATTTAAGATTTAATCACAATTTTATACAAAAAAGTGAATGTTGATGTTTTGTGTTAAATGTTAAGCATTGGTAATAAGGTACTAAGTAATGTAATTGTGTACTTAATATGTGTAATGTTTACTTAGTGTGTACAACCTCTCAAGCAGTGTATAGAATAATGTAATATATTGTGTTTTTTATAATTGTTAAATAAGGAACATTTAGTTATAAATTGTTAAAACAGATTATTATTATTATTATTATTATTATTATTATTATTATTATTATTATTATTATTATTATTAACATTTTTTGCAGTACGAAGTTTAATTTACAAATTGCATTCCTCTGTTGGTTTAGGATTTGGATGTTTCATTCAAGCCTGGAGATGCAATTGCCATTTTACCATGCAATTTGGATACAGAAGTGGAAAAATTTGCTGTCTATTTGAAAGTGAAAGATGTATTAAATAAAAAATGCAGTATTAATATTCAAACCAGTGTGAAAAAGAAATCCAACTTCCAGCATATTCCAACAATTACCTCTCTGAATTATGTGTTAAAATATTGTGTTGATATCAGATCTGTACCTAAAAAGGTAAGAAAACTTCTTTTTTGTCTTTTTCTTTTTTTCTCTATAAATTATATTTAGGGGGCCGCCTATGAATTACATAACGCAAATTTGAACCGTTTTCAATAACCCCCTCTCCCCTTGGAATGTGACGATGATGATGATGATGATGATTATTATTATTATTATTATTATTATTATTATTATTATTATTATTATTATTATTATTATTATTAATATTTATTATTATTATTATTATTATTATTATTAATATTTATTATTATTATTATTATTATTATTATTATTATTATTATTATTATTATTATTGCCTGTTACAATCCCATAAAGGGCAAGAGTTTCCAGTTGTTAGTGGTTACACAATGGTAGAATTACCGAGCACCCAATTTGGGAACTTCCTTATACAGACCTATTAAAATTAATGATAATGAAAGTAAAAATTAGTTGGCGATGCTGACTGCACCTAAGAATAAGATTGGGGCAGGTTGTGAATGAAGGAAGAATGCAAGAGAAGAAAATGTTGATCTCAAGCCGCGCACATGTCGATTGTGAATGATACGTAAGCATGTCCACAGCGCCGAGTTAATTGGGTTCTAGAGTTTGTAATATTACAGATTAAAAAGGGTTGAAAAAAATGTCCATTTGTTGTAACAATTTACAAATATGAACTTGAGCTAATTTTATTGTTTTATATTAATTAGTTAATATTTTAATGTTTTAATACTGACTCAAAAATGAATTATTTCAGCACATGTTGAAAAATGTAAATAAATAAATAGCAATGTTATGTAATACTAAGCTAATAACCCCCCTTCCCCTATGTAACACAGCATTACGCTGCCACAGACACTACGTAATTTATGGACGACTCCTAATGAGTGTTTTTAACATTGTTTAATTAGGGGAGTTTAGTCACTGAAAAAATAAAATTATTTTGTTAATTGAGCAAGGTAATTAACTAGTACAGGTGTATTAGTCATATAGACATACATGTTGGAAGAGTAGTTAAATTATTTGAATAATTTAAAAAAGTCCTTTTTATTCAACTCTTACTATTTTCTATTATTTGCAACTCTTCCATTCCATAATTATTGATTCATTTGTGGTAGTCATGTTTGCAATTCTGCTAATTGCTTATATGCATACTTTTGTTATTTTCTTAATGTTTATTTTCCTCTTCTTCCGAACTTCTGTCATTCTTTTATTTTGCTTAGCCTTTCCAGTTTAGTTGATTCAATGCCTCCTTAAATGCCTTAGTTATCTGATAAAATTATATGGCGATAATTTCTTAATTATGTCAGATTTCTTACCATTGACATTTTTTAGGCAATGCTCCTGATTCTATCAGAGTGTGCATCAGACAGTTTTGAAAAAAGATGTCTTCAAGAACTCTGTAGCAGAGAGGGGTCAGCTCTGTACAATACTCGTATTCTTGAACCTGGTGCAACTATTCAAGATGTCCTTGCTTCTTTTCCTTCATGTCAACCACCTTTAGGAAGAATTTTGGAGCTTTTGCCTCGATTGTTGGTAATGTTTTGTATGCTGTATTCTAGTCTCGAAATGTTTTATCTTTCTGTAAATTATTTTAGAATACAGTAGAGCATCAATAATTCAGATGTCAAAACTCTGGATTGTTGATAATTGTTGGGAGAGGGGGGGAGAAAAAAAAAAACTTGCATGAAATGAATACTATTAGGCACATACTTGAGTAAAATGTTTTATGTTACTTTATAGATTAATTAAACTATTATTTATTACAATATCAGTCTGTATATGAAGGTTTGTATTTGACAATGTCTTTTCACATGTCTAATTATATTTAACTTTATTGAGAAGTTTAAGAACAAAGGGTGCATTCCAACTCCTTACTGGATTATTGGTTTTATCATACAAAACATGAAATATAATCAAATTTTCAGTTTTTATTGACAATATGTTTTAATCTGTTAATATTAGAAATACTTCATGTTTACTCGGTAATCAGTTTTCCCAATCAATTCTTATTGTACCTATTCTAGTGCATCCCTGTCTCATGTGGAATACCCTGACTTTGTCTTGTCCCCACTCCCAAACCCCCAGTTTGCTTCACTCCTTCTTTAACTAAAATAATTAGAAACATATACTGAAAGAAAAAGTAAAACACCTTTACTTACATCTATGTTTTTGTGGAGTTTTATGTATCATACAACACAATAAAGCACACTTCCCTTCAAAAATCATCTAAACTGACAGTTTTAGAATCAAAATTAGTATTTACATACTCATGATTAATGACTTTATTCCATTAATTTCATATTTCTTGTACTTTTAAAATGCCTAGGTACAATTAAGGTCAATTTCCAACTTCCTAAATAAGTGAAGGAAAATTGGCAAAATCCTAGGAATAATTCTCGCAATTGAATGTAAAACTCTTACCAGGGGTAACATATGTTTTCAATATTGTTTGTAGTAATATTCTTAATTGTTCTGTTACACTTCAAATAATTAATTATTGTTACACATTATACTTCTACTAAATGCCTCAGGATAATATGACAATTTGTTCTCTTCCCTCAGTTCACTTGTTTGATATTCTGACTTTAAAAATAAGAAAGCCTCCATAATTAGACTGCATATTCTCCAAAGCAATTTGTGTTTTGTTGTGTTAAACAAAAACAAAAAAACAAGAAAAAACAAAAACAAAACAAAAAATCCCTTATTTTGCAATTTACCTAGGGAAAGCAACCTTTCTAGAGTCAGGGTACCAAAAGTTAATTTTACCTTCATAAGACTCATTCAGTGAGCTGAAAACATGGAAAGAGGTTGAGAGTTCCAAGAGAGGACATTCTTTGAACACCATCATATTCAAGGGCTTTAATCTCTTGAGCCCAAACCATCAATTTAGGGAACCTAAAAAATATTTATTGGCATCATAATGAATAAAAAATATCATGCATTTTAGAGATACCTTCACTATTCAAATTGTCAAGCATTTTTGTTTGTATTACTTTTTTCTTTTCCATTTCATTTTTAATTGTTCTCATTAAACATTTTAAGAATTTTATATTACTTAAACTCCATGGTTTGACGTGAGTTGTGCTCATTTTGATACTAGTTAACGCAAATAAAATTCATTTTTCACCAAGTTACTAACTTTTTTTGTTGTCTCATAAAATTTATTTTTTGTAATTTGTATACTTTTCCTCAAAAATGAAATTGCATAAATTAACAATTCACCTCATGTGCATCACAAGCTTCTGCCCAAAACTGTGGCCTTCTTGCCCTTCTTCTCGCCCTTCCTCTCCTTTCCTTCCTATGTGAATGAATTATTAAACCTTGCCAAAGAATAAAAATATGTGTTCTTTCTGGCGGGAAATATTTTGAAAAAAATTTTTAAATGAAAAACAAAAGAGATTTATTTGACTTTGCCATAGCCTCGACCGTATTCGATTGCTTCCTCCCCATTGATATCTCCGCATTCAGTACGCCTTGTCCTGTCAGTGGTGGAGCAGCCCGTGAAAGGTCTATGTTCAGGGTGGCTGCATGATGTTCTTGCTCCCCTGCTGGGGACTTGTAAAGAGCCCTTGGAGAAGCAAATGGAGGAGCTTTCATTGAAGCCTAAACAGACTGTGCTGGTAATTTCTTTTCTTTTTTCCCCACTTTTCTGTGCACAGTACTTTTCAAATATTGCTTTTAATCAATTGTAAATTACTTTTAAATATTTTTGATTCTAGATTATAAAATGAACATTGATTTTTGCTCAGGTACCTGTGTCATTTCGGAGAACACACAATTTTAATCTACCTGATGACCTCTCGGTGCCTTTAATTTTGATTGGACCAGGTACTGGAATTGCTCCATTCATTGGTAAGCTTTCAAAGAGATGTTGCAATTTTCAGTTTATACAGCCACAATGAACCTGTTTTGCATTGCTCAGTTAACTGGGTATTCTTATTAGATAAAGTGTATGAAGTGATGTTTTCTCTCCTGTGGCCGTACACAATATCAATAGCACAGAAAAGAATTGTTTGTTGGCCAATAATGTGTATTTCAAAGATGTGATTATTATAACCTCCCCATCGAGGTGGGTCGGTCCACGTCCTGATGGGGGGATGCAGAGAAGGCTCTCAAGTATTCCTTTCTCTCACCAATCATCTTGATCTTCCCCATCGATCATTCTCGTTCTTTTATAACATCCTGTCTCTTTTCTTCTATCCCTTCTATTTCACTGCCCTCCCCCCGTATACAGAACGCCCACCCTTGTGTTTGCCGAGCATGGCGACCCGTGTCGGAGGGAAGGTGTCTCCTAAAGTTGAGGGACCTGTTTGTTTCTCCTTGTGCCTCCTTGTGTTACTTTCTGCTTTGCACCTACGGATACGTTGTTTACGTATTTCGGGGAACATTTCTTGTAGGTTTCCAACACACTTGCATTGGCCTCGGTCTCTTCTAGACGGGTACTCGGGAGCTAACCCACTCCCGATCAATCGGTTGGACTAAGTCTTGTACTGAACTCCAGGGTGAGCGGAGGGGATCCACGGCGGGGCAGCGTTTTGACATCTTCCCACTATACATCTTCGTATCAACCCTGGCACCCCAGAGGGGTGTCCCCTTGTTGGACTCCGTGGTGGGTGGGGAGCACGTAGACGAATCCTCTCCAATTCTATGGAGCATAAAAAACCTTGCTCTCTTCCGGGGGCAAGAGGCGATGTTTTGAGAAAACGGTGGATTTGAGTAGTTTCTTCCTTAGGGAAGAAGATAAACCAAAGAAACTATTTTCCTTTCGATGGCGTGCATGGAAGAAGGGCCATTTAAAAGTACTAGCGCGGTTCGTCTGACGCGAGCCATTGAGGACAGTTTCGGTAAACTCCAAAGGGTGGTGCGTCAGAGGAATGGTAAAATTCTCTTCAAAGCACGCACCGATAAGCAAATCGAAAAAATCTCGAAAACAAAGCAGATTACCGGCCTCCAGGTGGAAGTGACCAATCACCCTACCCTTAACACATGTAAGGGAGTGGTGAATCACGATAATTTTTCGTCCGAAAGTGAGGAGGAACTTCTGTCCTTCTTCAAGATTCAGGGCTTGACAGAGGTGTTTAGGATCTAGAGGAAGGAGAATGGGAGAGTGATCTGATCCTGGCGTTTAATCTCCCCTCTCTTCCAGAGAGGATTAGTTGTGGTTTTTTAATATCTACGTGCGGGAATGTGTGCCAAAGTGTGCGGCAGTATGTGCCCCTGCGTTTCTTCAAGTGTCAGAGATTCGGCCATACCCTACAGCAGTGCACGGCCGTAAGCCCTGTTTGCGCAAAGTGCGGCAAATACATGCACGATACGGATCCCTGTGCCTCTCCACTTCGCTGTGTTAACTGCGAAGGAGACCATGCGGCCAACTCGAACATATGCCCTACATATTTGAGGGAGAGGGGGATCCAAAAGACCAGAGTGACGGAGAAGGTATCTTTTCCCGAGGCGAAACGCCGATACTTCGTGAAGAACCCTGTAGATCTCGGGCGTTCATTTACCACTACTCTGGCCAAGACGGCAAAAGCAACCGCGAGTTGTCAGACTTCATCTGCTACTCCCTCAGTTACTCATTTGTTGCCAGGTGTCTCCAGTAGACTTCCCTGAGGAGACACCACCTCTGCAAGGTGGGAAGATAATAATTCCATCCAAATTCAAATTGTCGAAGAAAACCACACAGGTGAAGTCCACACAGTAGAATCCGATGTCACTCTACCTTCTGGCCCAAACTTAAAAAAGATCGTTCTTTAAACTCGACCACCTACCCCGACTCCTGAGACTCACTGTGCCTCGGAGGAAACCTCAGTGGACAACAGTGGCAACCCTTCGGGCAACAGTGCCATAAACTGAAAAAGGGGAAGAAAAAACCACCTTAGAAGCAAGAAACTTAACATTTGTTATGGCTTTCGCACCCGTTTAGACCAATTAAAGCTGATAATGTCTGTGCATAGAACCATTGTCATCTGCCTGCAGGAAACACATCTTCCTGAGTATTTCCTCTCTCTTCGTGGCTTTTGTTGCTACAGGCAAGACATTGATGATGGCCTCCGGGCACTTGGCAGAGGCATTACATTAGTCACAGACTCCCTGGTGTCCAAAGAAATAGACGTACGAACCACTCTTCAGACATCTTGCGTTCGTGTGAACTGCTGCACTATATCAATATCTATTTGCAACGTCTGTATCCCGCCTGGGCAAGTCGTGTCGCAAAATTGTGGGGGACTTAAATGCCCACAATCCCGCCTGGGGTGACACTAGGACTTGCTCGAGAGGCAATATACTTGAAAATGTTATTGACAGCCAGAACTTAATTTTTCTGATTACTGGCGAAATCACACATTTTTCCATAGCTTGAAACACTTTCTGGTCCATCAATGTGGCTCTCTGTAGTCCATCTCTATCATCATTGAGTGGAATGTCCTTGGCGACCTGCATGGCTCTGACCCCATTCTGGTCAATTTCGATATTCCCGACCCAAACGTTGCTCGTGTCCCTCGCTGGCTAATCCACCGAGCTGAGTGGGAAACATTCGGATATCAGAAACCTGCCCAAACGATATTGATGCTATGATTGCCCATTTTACTGATGCCCTTCTTCACGCGGCCTCAATTGCCATCCCGAAGTCGTCGGGTCACCCGAGACATTCTCCCGTGCCATTTTAGAATGCTGACTGTGCCTCCGCGGTGCGGGTCCGGAAACGGGCTTTGGCAAAGCTTAGTAGGTTCACTACCATGATCACATCTGATCAATTATAAAAGATCACGAGCCAGAGCTAGATTGACCATACGGGAAAGATAGGCCGCGTCCTGGTGAACCTATATTTCATCACTCTTGCCGTACGCCCTCTAAAGTAGTGTGGCGAAAAGTTTGACAGATCGCTGGAAGACTTCCTTCGCCGTGTCTCAGGGCTTCTGGTAAATGGAAATCTTCTCACCTCACCAGAAGATATTGTGCCTCACTGCAAGCATAACTCCAGCTCTGCACACTACTCTCCTAGCTTTCTGAAGACCAAAAGAAGAATGGAGAACTGCAGACTAAATTTCTCGAGTCGCGTGGAGAAAGACTACAATGCTCCTTTCTCCATAGATGAATATTCCTGTACCCTCGCTTGTGCGAGAGATTCTGCTCGAGGGCCAGACCAGATACATAATAAAATGATTAAAATCGTAACGGAAAATGCTCGTTTTTTCTCCTCCGCATTTTTAACTTGACTTGGGATAAACATTCCTTACCAAGAATTTGGCGTGAAGAAAATGTTATTCCAATCCTTAAAGAAGGAAAGAACAGAACAATCCCTTCAAGATTCCGGCCGTATGTCGCTCAGAAGCTGTGTGTAAGCTTTTAGTAAACGAATAGTAAACAAACGACTTGTCTGGCTCCTAGAGAAAAGGAATCTATTTACACCTTTTCAGTGTGGTTTAAGGAAGCACTGGTCAACCATAGACCACTTAGTTTCCTTATATAACTTCATATACATTAATGGTTCCTCCCAGAATGGCAATGTAGTGTTTGCCTTCTACTGCCACAATGCCCTGCGGAATCTTTGACTAGACTCTTCGTGCAGCGATTATACTGCAGAAAAATATGCGCTCTTGGAGGCATCTAAGTTCGCTGAATCGATGACATTAAAAGAAGTTGTAATCTGCAGTGATTCAAGAAGCTCGCTTGAATCTATCTCCTGCTTCTCTTCTTGTGACCCTCTGACAATAATCATCCAACACCAAATCCATAATTTACTGGTTCGTCGCTATAATTTTTTGTTGTTGTTGTTGAATCACTAGTCACTTTGGGATAACAGGGAGCAAAATTGTTGACAAGGCAGCAAAGCTCGACACAGAGAAAACTGAGGTAGACATCCTTGCAGTTCCAACAATCAATACTAAGCTGTTTATCAAACGTATTCTCAGTGCCTGGCAAACGGAGTGGCAGAACTCAGATTTTAAACTCAAGGATCAAGGATTTCATATAGCCTCGAACTTCTTCATCTCGTTGGTCAAGACGCGGGAAGATAATTCTGACACGCCTTCGGATCTGTCACTGTCTTTTCTTCCGTGGACATTTTCTCCGCGGTGCGATAGTTGCGAGACAGATCTTACCGTGGAGCCGTTGAGCATGTTCTGCACTGATCTAATTTAAATGATAGCCGGCTAAGGTTTCACCTTGCTAGCTCTCTAGCACAGTTACTTGGAAATGAATCTTCTCTCTGTAAGCTTTTTAGCTTCTTACGAGAGTCTGACATTTACAGCATTATCTGAGAGAGGAGGATTATACGCCAATGGCTTATAATCGGAGATTTAAAAGTGTTTATCTGTCTCTTTTCAGCTTTCAGCGTTTTGAAAATATTGTTTTAAGTTTGGAAGAACTTTATATAAAGCCCCTGGGACATTTTCAAAATTCTCTAAAATGGCTCCTTTTTTCTCTTCCTCTTCTTCGTCTTCTTGTTCGTCCTCTTCTTCGCCTTCTTCGTCTTCGCCTTCTTCGTCTTCGCCTTCTTCGTCTTCGCCTTCTTCGTCTTCTTCGCCTTCTTCGCCTTCGTCTTCGTCTTCTTCGCCTTCGTCTTCGTGTTCGTCGTCTTCGTGTTCGTCGTCTTCGTGTTCGTCGTCTTCGTGTTCGTCGTCTTCGTCTTCTTCGTCTTCGTGTTCGTCGTCTTCGTCTTCTTCGTGTTCGTCGTCTTCGTCGTCTTCGTCTTCTTCTAATTTATTGTAGGAATGCAGTACAACAAACTTATAAACTTGGCCTAGAATAGATTTCCACGGTTAGCTTCAAATTCTCGAAAATTGAAAAATGTTATATTTTTTTGTGTCTCTTCCTACAACTACCAAATTCAAGATGGAGACTTTCCCTGCAAATTAAATTTTTTGTCCATAATTAGTTCTTTCATTAAGGTAATGTATATTGTTTTGGAAATTTTAGTAGTTTTTGCACAATACTCTTGCAATATGTGCAGTTTTATAAAATAACCAGTAAATGCTCCCACTTGATGGTCAACTATGTCATGATCACTTGGATGTTGAACGGTCTTAAAAGGAGTTACATTATCAATGTAGAAGCAGGGAAAAAATGTAGAAGTAAAATGTATATCTGAAATAATTTAACATTAGAAGTATTTTAATTTGTCTGGGACTTACAAAAAAATATTATAAACGTGAACAACATATATGTGCAAAATGTATAAACGGACTTTTACTGTATTAGTTGTAATATCTTCACCTAAGTTTGTTACATTGTTACTATTTTGAACTTATATCAACCCAACCCATGTTTCCATTCCCTATCTCTTTTGTAATGTCAAACTTTTCAATATTGACATTAACTTCCTTTTTCAGAGCCATCACAATTGGAATTTTTAAAAAAATTATCCTCCTATTGATGTGTTTCTTTCCATGCACAAAAGATCAATGTTCCCAAAATAATCAGCATCAATCTCACCACAGTGGTGAAAAGACTGACAATCTCACAATATATGAAGGTCATGATGCTTTGTCAAGTTATGCACATTCACGCATCTGAAAGTGAATGACCTCTTGAAAGATACACCATCCTCATCCATGACCACCTTCCACAAAATAATACATGGAAAATTGCTAGAGATTTTCACCTGCAGCTGAATGTGGTTCTCAAGTAGGATATTTCTCTGGAAAGAAGACCATTATTATGCAAGCTTCATAAGGGATGTTTAAAAGAAAGAGCAATGGATCACCTGGAATGCCACATGGGGACGTTTTTACTTTTCCGTATACATACATGAGTATGGAGTAATATACGAAGTTTGGGAAAGTTATGTAATGCTGCGGAAAATCGATTTCGAAATTTCAATGGAAATACACGTCTCCATCTGTATGTCTGTCTCCGTCTGTATGCCAGTCTCCGTCTGTATGCCAGTCTCCGTCTGTATGCCAGTCTCCGTCTGTATGTCTGTCTCCGTCTGTATGTCTGTCTGCGTCTGTATCTGTCTCATGTGCTTTAAATAATATCAGATGGAATTTCCCGGAAACTCAAGTTTTCTGAAAAAATGAACTTAAAATTCCGCATTTTCAGAAACACTCGAACCCTGTTTTTTTCAAAAATGGCTCCAAATTCATTCTTCAAACTTTTCCATTCGAGGGTGCTAATTGCGTTAAGATAACATATAATTAATTTTGCTGTTTTCTTTTGTTTTTTCAAAATTTACACAAATTTATTTTTGTTTTTAAATATCTGTCACTTTTAATATGCACGTTTTTAGCAATTTGTAAACAATATTGCATTTCTGACTGAACATGCTTAAAATGACTTCAAAAGAAATTTTTCGGAAACTCTATAGTTTTCTGTGTAAAGAGGTTCAAATTTTCAATTTACAGTAGAGCTTAAATGCCATTTTCTTTAAAACAGCTCTAAATTTTTCCAAGAAAACTCCCATGTAGAACAAGGTTTTACTGTTCTTTAATATTCTTAAAATAATATTTCCATTCTAGTATTAGAAAATTAAAAAATTGAGAAAATGTCAAAAAATGTACTTTGGGCAGCGATAGATGGCGGCTGACAAGAGTATGTGGCAAGTCCAACTAGCTAGCCTAGACCAAAGGAAATAGAAAACTAATACGGGAAAGTCTATGCCATTCTGTAGCACAACTAGATTGTTTTGACTTCTTATTCTCTCTCTTAGGAAAAAAAAATAAATCTGGAACCAATGTTCTGTCTACTGTGTGTGGTAAGTTGTTATGAGTGGGTTTGGTACACTTTTAAAGAAAATCCTCTGATTTATTCATTAAGGCCAATATTGCATCGTGCTTTTCGTGTGTTAACAACAGTTTTCTATTGTACTTCTTTCATTGGATGAAACCGTGGAAGACTTTGTAGTTTAATAGTTAATTAATTGATTCTAGTTTCTTTGTTATGTTCTCATTCATTACTGCTGTGAGGAATTCATCTCGTTATCAAAATTGAGAAACAACAGTAACAATACATAATTTTTTCCTTTCCCTTTGGAACTTCTCTCGTTTATCTTTGAGAGTTGTGTTAATGCATATCAATTGGTGAGGAAGTAATTGTAGTTGGAAGAATTCCCAAAATGAAATTGTGAAATTGCACAATGGTGCAAATTAGGAAAGCTAACATGATCTCATGTATATGTTTCTAGTGTTATTCTTTTGGTCATGTCTTGAATAAGAAGTTACTTAAATTACGTAGCAATTCATGTAACCAAAATATGCTGTGAATGTTATTTAGAAGCAAGAGAACTATTATTATTGAATAAAATCTTGTGGCTCTTTATGAGTAATGAGTATGTTGTTCTAACAGGTTTTTTGCAACACAGAAGTGCTCAGAAAAAGATGTTACATGATGTTTCTTTTGGAGAAATTTGGTTGTTTTATGGATGCAGATATTCGGACAGAGATTTTTTATTTAGGTAAGTTTTTCCCTTTTTGTTTATTTCTTTATTTTGTTTTATATGGAAGTAGTAACAAGCTGATATAGTACACATATATCTCACAAATTGTCCACTAAGTTCATATGTAAGGTGACCTTTTGTTTTTGGACATATCCTCTTTTTTATTCTTTTGCCCTTGGTCTGGGCAGATTTTTTTAGTCTTGAAACGACCTCCATTTGTAACTTGCTCGCCCCAGAGCACAATATCTTGAAATAATTTGTATTGACTCCCGTTTATACTAATATATCTGTAAGTGGCAACTCTATCAATGGAATATTCTCCCTTTTCTGTGCAATTCGAGAGGTTCAGTCATTCTTGTTCTGAGTAGTTTTTTGAACTGTTGATAATTCTGCCAAACACACAAGATTTTTGTTTTGCTTGACACATATTTGCTAAAGATATATTGTGATATATAAAATGCCAAAGCAGAAATGCACGATTTACTCTGCCCTAGCTGGCAATCATCCTGCTTTCAAAATATAAGGGAAGGGTTCTGAAACTGAATTCAAGTTCATGTACCTGGAACCTTTGTCTCTATTTCAAATATAGGCCTGTTTCAAATGAATGTTCATTAGTTTTTGCAAGTATCAGTACTTTACATCTGTCTGAATGCATCCACAAAAATACAATGTAACATGTACACACTACAAGTAACATTTTTATTTGAAGTATTACAGACTGTCCTCTTTTTTTCACCAAACATCCTCCTTTTTTAAAGCCATTGTCCTTTTTTCCATTGATGAGGATTTGGTCACCGTATTCATGTGTAAATATTTTGGAAAACATAATTTTGTAACACAGTTTGATGAAATTATAATAACTTAATCTATTCATTTATATTGCACTAGAATCTCAAATTGTTTGATAATAATTATCTAGTCAGGATTTGAAAGGCACTAAAGTATTTTTCTCAACAGAATCCACTGGAAGAACATTCAATTGATTTACGATCCAATTAGTAATGAAATGCATTCATGGTCTAGTTTTTGTTCTCTCTTTCTCCTTTATTTATTCCAATGATTCCTTTTATTGTGAGACAATTAAAATGCACAGTAAATGAAATTTTGTAGTGAGACTTACTAATTCCTTTTGTGAATGTTCATTTGTTGGACTTAGGTTCAGGAATTAGCGTAATCATTTCTAAAGTATATTTTTTTTGGTGTCATATGTTGAAAATGGTTAATGCATTAATCTCATAGTTCGGAAAAGGCTTAAAACATTGAAAGTTTCATGGGAGGGAGATGCTATTTAGAATATTTGTGATATACAAGTTGGAGATGTATGAGATTGTTGTTAAATTGTGTAACAAATTAAATCCTACTTGAACACAAGGTGACCCTTAATTTTTATAACATGAAATTGGTTTCCCAAAATTTACCAAATTATAAGATGTTTTTATAACTAAAACGAGTGATGAATATATTTATATTTACAATTATAATTTTTATATATCAATATATTATACAGTGTGTCCAGGGAGGAAACAGTGAAACTTCGCATATAAAGATAAGTCAATTTTAAGCATGTTTAGTCTAATAAACTACTAGGATATTCGGAATGATATATATTGAGTGCTTATAGTGCTTGTGTCTGGAGAGGAAACGCTGAAACTTAAAGACTACTTTTATAAACATGTAGTCAATGCTTCCTCTATTAGCGATATTCTCATGGTTAGTTTTGTGCAGTCTAGAAGTGAAGCGGTTGGTACTTGAGAAAATCGGGAGTAACCGGGAAGCATTGGAGTCAGTAACGGCTTCTGTAATATGATGGGCTGAGTTGTGCATTTAATGAGGAGGACATTTTGAACATCTTTTGTAAATGCACAGCAGCAACAGTTTAGAGTCACGCCAAAGAAGACAAAGGAAGTTCAGTGTGCCAAATGCTTTGGAAAGACCCAATTTGCACAATTGTTGCGTTTTTATTTCTGCGTTAATATTTCTTTGTAAACAAATGTATGCATTTCTTTTGTAAATATTAAACAATTTATGGTTTTGGAGTGTTTCTATGCTTCTGCAATGCAAATTTTTGCCTATAAAGCATTTTTTGACACCAACTTTTGAGTGCTTGTTGCGGCTCAGCCATTCAGATTGTCCAAGTAGTTTATTTGACAAAGTATGCTTAAAAGCTTAAGAGCTTATTTTCGATGTTTCCTCCCCAGTATATATTTTATATATTGTGATGATTTATGATTCTCATTTAACTAATTAAACTTCCTAACTATGTATTTTTTCATGCCCCGCTTTGGGCATCCATTTGTGATAGTTTTATGATTTTACTAATTTAATCTGACTATGTATTTTATCATGCCCTAAGTTGAGCAACCATGTGTGATGATTTTATATTTAACTAATTAAATTTTACAAATTAATTGTTGATGGCAACATCTACAAATTACCAGCCTTTCAACTTTTTTTGATGATAATGAATTGATATTTATTCTACAAATCTACATTTGGTTTACTGTTGGTCTTTGAGCTCATTAATGGTTTATCTTTAATTTGTATAGTCGCAAATTCTGAGCGGTATATCTTGTGTAAATGTTCGTAAGCTTAAGGAAATACCTTCCACGCCGTTCATCGAGAGGTCTTCTGAATGTCGTTGAGAGGATGACCTCACAATGCTACTGCTATCATTGTAAATTCTGACGGCGGGAGAATTTTTGTAATGATCCTGGTAATCCTAACTATTTGATGATAATGTACTATAACTAATTAATGCAATCTGCGAACACGACTTTCCCTTCCGGTGCCTCAGATAAAGTGCCTACTCGCGACTCTTTTTTGGATGTTTTATTTAACTCTGTATGCCCAGTTATGAATCTATTCTACATTAATTCCTCACACACAAAGTCTATTTTACGTGAATCCCCAAAATCACAAATTACAACACAAGCTAAGAATGATACCTTTACACTATTATACCATTACATTATATACTATACATGAACAAATTGCACAATTAACATAATTTTCCTGTTTCCTGACATCAAAATATTACCCAGCCTAAGTCTGCAAAATTATTACCATCCAATTCTCTTGCTGACGAGAGAGACTGGCCCATTCTAAATAATCGCAGAACCTCTATTTTCAACACTGTCTTGTAATGAATTCAACATACTGTCCCGGGGCCATGCTTTGCAAATGAATCTTGTATTTAGACCTTTAAGCACGGAACACAGCAAGCAGGACAAGCACGGAAGTTTGTTGACATGTCCTGACGACATGTATTCCTTGGTCTAAATTATTGGTATCCAATTCTAAAGTAAACATTAATTCAATGCAATTTCCTCTCTATTAAATGCCTTGGGGGGCGGGGGGGGGGATTTCTGGTAGTCACAATATTTTATATATGTTATACCTTTTAATATTTTAATTAATTTTAAGTGCATATCACTTTTCCTTTTTCATATTTTCAAAATATATAATTATATACTTTGCATCTTTATTGTCAAACCATTTCCTTAATATGGATAGCTTACCTATTTCACTTTTGAAAGAAAAAACAAAATTTTGAAAGTTGTTCATAGGAATACAATAATCTTGTACCATTAATCACCAACTTCATTTGCCACTGAACACCTATTTTTTTAGATAAATTTCGAGAAAACCTAAGGAAATGTTTTTACTTCACATCATAATACACTTAACATTTATGAAAATTAAGTTCCTGACTTCCCATTCCATGTAAACTAATTGAAACTTAAATTTATGGAAACTAAATTTTATAAACTGGTAATTTGAGTTACCAGTTCTTTATATACTAACTTGAACAATTTGTCCTTTTAATTGAAAATAAATAAAATGCATATGTTATGGATAAAGTGGGCCAGTTCTTGAATTAGCTGGTGGTTGTTCAAATGGATGGATAAAGTGAAAAGTGGGAACAGCTTCAAAGCTTACTTAGGACTTGAAATGGATAAAGTCATCATTAGCAAACGCAAGGTAGCTAGATTTGAGTACTAGGTATCAGTATAGGTACATTTCAGTTCATTTCATTTTAAGTACATTTCAGTGATGAGGAGTAGCAGATGTGTGATAAAAACAGACTGTTGGTAGGAAATTTCTAAAGCGAGTCAAGGTGCGTAATATTGTGTCCCATAATCATAAATTTCTATGAACATAACACTACCAAACCTAACCTTGCTATACTTTAATTGACATTTCTTGGTGCATTTCCAAGTTGGTGACAAGGCTCCGATCTTTGGCTATTGCGATGTATGTAAAACCTTGGAATTTATGCAACATATAATTTTTTAAAAAATTTCCAATGTATTTTTATACCAAAATACTTCTTGCAAATAGCCAGCAGCGTGTTCTGGTATCAATGTTACATGAGGTCCAAAATGACCCATTCATCTTCATACATACTGCTTTATCCACACCATGTTATGTATTGTAATTAACATACAATTTAACTGGGTACTCTTTATATTGCCCATATTTTTGTCTGAAGCCTTGGCACACTCTTCAAATATATATTTCGTATTATGTTTTGGATTATTGTAAAAATTGACTCCAAGAATAAGTAGTTCATTCTGTGATTGTGAGATACTTCATTTCACTGGTGTACATAGTTTCACAACTACTAAGTTTCGTATTCTTGAATGACAAATATTTCCACTCCGTCCTTAAGAAATGTTTCTGTGAGCCATTTCAAACTCTTCACTTGATATTCTGAATGTTCGTTACCTATATGCATATTTCTTCTTTAATTGGCATTGCTTTTTTCTTTAAACAGTACACAAAGGCACTAACTTCAAAATTGTAAATGTTTCATCATCGTCAATGCAATCACTGCAGGATCATAAGATCCAAAACATCTTCAGAATAAACTTTGAAAAAACATTTTTGTGCCTATAACAGTGTACACATGTACACTTTATAAAACTGTTGTCAGGTACAAGATGATGGCTAGTTCAGAACAAAAGGCATACTGTGTTATCTGTAATGTTAGAAGTGAAAAATTTTAGAGTAATACTCGCAATATAATAGACAATCAGCAAGTTCTTTGAGATGTGTTCAGTTTACCAATCAACAACTACAAAACAAACAAACAACACACACACAAACATACAAATGCACTCAAACGCACGCACGTGTGCGCGTGCACATACACACAAACATACAAATGCACTCAAACGCACATGCGTGTGCGCGTGCACACACACACACACACACTCTCATTCTCTCTCTCACTCTCTCTCACTCACTCTCACTCTCTCTCACTCTCTCATTCTCTCTCTCTCTCATTCTCTCTCTCACTCTCACTCTCTCTCACTCTCTCTCATTCACTCTCTCACTCACTTTCTCTCACTCTCACTCACTCACACTCACTCTCACTCTCTCTCTCTCACTCACTCTCTCTCACTCTCTCTCACTCTCTCTCACTTACTCTCTCTCATTCTCTCTCACTCTCTCTCACTTACTCTCTCTCATTCACTCTCTCTCTCACTCTCTCTCATACGGGTGTGTGTTTTCAATTCCAAAGAACAAAAACTTGCCTGCGAGGATCAAACGAGTTTCTATTAAGCTTATATCAGGACACTAGAGCTTTTCAGCATGAAGAAGACAAACTTACATGAATAGTAACCACAAGATGACTCTACATGGCCTAAAAGTGAGTGTATTTCTTGTCAAAGGCCAGTCTCCCCTAAATATATATCAGTATTGAGTATTGAGACTCTAAAAAATGAATTAATCTTTCAGTCATTATCTTAACTTTTTTGGACTATTATTGTAGTATAGATTGCTTTTGTATCAAAAGAACAAGAACTTCATGGAGAGCCACTTAACAGTTTCTTTACCACTTTGAATGTAAAGAATTTGATAGAAAGCGCAACTGAATCAGACAAGGCTAAATGCAATCTGAAACACACAGTTTAATTATGTTTTATTTCCTGTTTCAACGATCATGCATAACGTGAAATGGATGCATTATGTGGCTTTAAAACATGGTTTTAGTGTTTGACCTCAAGTTAAATTCTTCACATTGAAAACTGCAAGATGAGATCTTTTGGCCTCTTCTATTTGTTTTTTTTGTGTTTGCTTCTTCAGTGGTAGGCATAATCTTCATGCACATTACATTTTTCTTCATGTACAAAAAAAATGATCTCTGGTTTTAAAGGACCAAAACTCGCAAAATACTTGATTTTTGATGACTCTATTTTTGGATATATTCAGTATCGCTATAACATAAAAAACCTCTAATAATTAAATTTGTTTAATTGCTATTTTTTTCAATTGCTTTCTTAATCAAATGGAAAATGAATTTTTAGTCTATGAGGTTTGGAGCAATAATGAAAGACTTACTGGGTGCAAATTCCTGGTATTTTAATTACAGATCTGACATATATAAATTTATGGAAGAGGGGATTCTCAGTCGCTTGTTTATTTCATTTTCCCGTGAAACTACTCACAATGGTGTAAAGTATGTTCAGGTGAGTTAAAATTATTTATTTTTATTGTTATTAAAGTATTTTTTGTTGAAATGAGATTCATTAATGTATATTTATAGGACAATATTAAAAAACATGCTCGAATCTTCATTCAGAAGATTTTAGAAGAAAGGGCCATGATATATGTTTGCGGAGATGGGAAGAACATGGCCACAGATGTCTGGAAAACTATTGTACATTTAATTTCATCAGAGAAAGGTAAATTTTGTTTTCCAAAACAACCTTTTGAGGATTCAACTGAAAATCTCCATTATTTTTTAATAACTTTTGCGGACAAAAGATATTTTCATCTTTTTGGACAACTTACACTGTATTTTCCTCTTCTCAAGTCAGATATTTTTTCTAAGAAAATTGATTTTTACAGCTTTAGAACAATTTACTTGACTAAAGAAAGAGTTGTTCATTTGAATTTTTTAAAAATTAGTTCTTGATTGAAACAGAAAGGCATTATATTTCCATTGTATCTTGTGTGTTTTCATATAAAAACTAACACAAAGCAATATAAAAGCAAAATCTCTTGATATTAACTCAAACTATGGTTTTACTGCATTCCCTGTTTATTTGTCATTAGTAATTATCATTTTTAATTTTGAAAAGTGTTTTCTTTGTTCAAAGTCATAATATTGCTGAAATGATTCTTAACATTATCTTCCTCCACAGGAATTCCTGAAGAAGAAGCACTGTCCCTTCTTTTGAAAATGCAGGAGAAGGGAACTTACAAACAAGACATTTGGCTGTGATAATGGAAAACTAAGTTATGAAATAAAAATAACTGTGATGTCTTTACATGTGCAAGAGAGCTAGCATCAAAATTGTACAATAAGGAATGTTTATGAATGGTAACATCAGATAATTTATTTAATCATTGTTAAAATTTTGACATTGCATGTGAAACATGAAAATAAATATTTGATTTTCTTAAAATCTATCATTTATATGAAATAAGTTGATTCTTCTGTAGATATGTAACATTGTGAATAATACACATGTCCAACATGTGTCCTTGATCTTGATTTTCAATTCTATCATTGGCAGGTTGAAGAGCGAAGAGCCCTAGGAAATAAGGATTACGCTCGTTCAGTGAAGGAGCATTCTGAATGAATTTTATTGTTAACATCATGGAGATAACATTTGTTCTTAATAAAAAATATTTATGCATATTCAATTTCTTATTGTTCGTATTGAGAATAAGATATAAACATTGTACTCCTTACCTTATATTACAGCTGACAGCTGTTATTGATGCTTGAAGAATTATTTTCTGATTTCTGAAGTTGGTGCTAATGACTTGTGTGTAGAAATGGACTGACAAAAAAAAGAAAAGTTAAAGAGAAATATTTGATAAGCTGCTTAAAGAAAATAAGGGAAGTAGGAAGTGGACAGAAAAAGATTCAGGGAGAATAGGGTGTTTGTTGCACACAATCATTGACTTACTAATTTTTAACACAGAATTATGTACAATGTGTATACTTATGCCTGTGCTCCCAATGTGTTGTTCAGATACAGGAGCAATATATGTGAAATGCAAAAACTCTGAAGTAATAATTACTAAAATATATATTTGTTTAAATTTTAGATGTTTTCTGCTGCGATTGACAATGTATTCACTCATCAGAAACTTCCACTTACTTGCCAGAATATTTTATGCAAGAAAGGTGAAAATGTCAAAACTACTCTAGTAATCATATGAAAGTTTTTCATATTAATTTTTGGATTTTAATTTATAATATTTAATTGAGTTTCCACAAATAGTTTTGGCATGGTCAAGTTTTATTTTGTTTGGTTTACATAAGAACTTTTTGTTTTGCAGTGTAACATTGTGGAAGTAGGATGTCTGATTTTGACGATTTTTTTTTCTTCTAGAAATTATTTCACTACTGCATTACGTGTAAGTTTGATCTATCAACAGTAATCCAGTACTTGTAATTAATTTGTTCTTCATTTCTGATTGAAATCGTCTTGGTAGCTACTGTAAAACAAGATTGTTGGATATGTTGGACATTTCTTTAAATAATAAGCTGGTAACAATTTTTGAATTCTGTAACCATCTTTGTAGCAGAGGAATCTAGTTTTCTTCCATGTTACATGCTTCCATCCATTGACATTTCCAACTTTTCAGGAGTAGCATAGAAGTATTGCTTCAATTTTTTCAATAATCTGACTGCTGCCTATATTTCCTTACGAAGTAGACCAGGTTGATTCTACACAAAATATCTTCTTTTCAAGGGTCACTTTTATTTTCTGTATTTTTTTGCCAGGGATACTGTTTTTTGTTAATCAGCATTTCTCCCTGAGATATCACATGCAAGTTTAGTTTTAAATGTCTATTATTTCTGTAACTCTGCCTGAAGTAGCAGATGAACTAACTTGGTCCATTTCTTTATTATGAGGTGATATATTAGGGTGATCTTGCCCTATCAAGACCTGTGCTCATGTTTATTCATCATTCTCACTGTCCAATATATTTACACAATGCATCAACTCCCACTTGTTAACAAAATTCTCTTGACTCCTCATGAGAAGGAAATTTTAAAACCTTTTATCTGATGCACTTCACATCCTTTTACAGGTGGCAGTCAGTTTTCAATGTCTCAGGAATGCTGGTTGTAACAACATAAAACTTAATATTGTGAATAATACACATGTCCAACATGTGTACTTGATCTTGATTTTGAATTCTACACTTCTCTGCAACTATGTTTAAATATGAAGATGTAGAAACAACAATAGTATTGGTAGTTTCGTTAGGCTCTGTATGGTTGCTAACTTCATGGAATGCAGATGGGTCAATCCATTTTAAGTGATCCAGCACTGGACACTCGACCATCTTGATAAAAATTTATATTTTATACATACATTTCCTTATATTTTGGTTGTTCAAAAACCTCTTTAATTAATGTTTACTGTATCTGGTTTACAAATGGTAGTCATTTTTGTTTTACTCCTTATGCCATTTTTTGCGATTGTAACATTTACTCTTTCCTAAATTATACAGCCTTGAGTTGTTCTAGCATTCTAACATAAAACTCATTTAATTCAGTATGCTGTAGCCTAGAAATCAAAATATTTACATACCTTTTTGGTTTTTATTTCAGAAATTTTTGCAACCAATTTATTAAAACGTGAATTTTCTAATATTTAAAAAAAATTTTTTTGTACTTTTCGAAATCTGAGGAATACCCTTAAATAGAACTAGCACCACATTTTTTACCGACCTTTATTATATAAATGAAGTGGGGGGGGGGGGTTGGAGCGTTCTTTTTTTTTCTGAGGAAAAAGTTGTGTTATTTCAAGGGCAAATTATGCAAAACCTGCTTATTTTTTCCAAACATTGTACATGGCATTTTTAAGAAGCTAATTTAGTAGAACATCCTTTGTCTGAAGCAAAAATCTGTTTTCAATTTTGTAGTTATTTGAAAATTGCACATTTTTAACTACAAAATTGAAGATAGAGATTTTTGAATCAGACAAAGTCTTTTGTACAAAATTAAAGCTCTTTCAAAAAGTTCATGAACAATGTCTAGTAAAAGTTAGTAATTTTTGTGTAATTTTTTGTTTTAAATTATTGAAGCTTATATGGACATCACAAAGTACATAACGATAACATTCTAATATTACGAGAAAGTATGTGCTTTTTAGCTCCTAGTTATTTGTGTAATAATGAGCCAAAGTTATTTCAGAAATTCATTTGCAATCTTTGAATCTAAGTAGTCCTGTGCAACTGTCCACGGAAAAAAAAGAACAGTTGCAGTATACCAGATCCATGATACTGAAACAAGGGAACTTGTTACAGTATCATGGATCTGGTATACTGCAATTGTTCTTTTTTTTCCATGTTCGTATCTCTGAAGAAACGTTAAGAAATAAAAAGAACGGTAAATTTAACCCTACGGTAGTCTTGCATTTAGTATGTACATGGAGAGTTGCGTGGTTGACCAGTGTCACCCACAGACCTTCGGTTGTTTTTAGAATTCTATAATTAATATACTTACC